TAGAAAGAGATAGAACACTTCCAGATTCATTCTATGAAGTCAGTATCATACTCATACCAAAACCAGAGAAAGACTCAACAAGGAAAGAATACTACAGACCAATATTCCTGATGAACTTAGATGCAAAAATACTTAATAAAATATTAGCAAATCATGTTCAGCAACATATTAAGAAGATTAAAACTATGATTAAGTTGGTTTTATTCCAGAGATGCAAGGATGATTTAATATATGCAAATCAATAAATGAAATTTATCACATAAATAAAGGTTAAAAAAATCACTCAGTAAACTCAATAGATACAGAAAAGGTCTTCAGCAAAATTTAGCACCCATTCATGATAAAAACACTAAAGAAATTAGGAATAGAAGGAGCCTACCCCAACATAATAAAGGCTGTCTATGAAATCCCAAAGCCAACCTCATAATAAATGGGGACAAACTGAAAGCCTTTCCTTTAAAATCTGGACCAAGGCAAGGATGTCCACTATCAATAGTCCTATTTAATATAGTGCTAGAAATTCTAACCAGGGCAATTAGGCAAAAGAAGAAAATAAAAGGCATAAAAATAGGAAAGGAGGAAGTCAAATTATCACCGTTTGTTGGTGATGTGATTCTAGACCTAGAAAACCCAAAGAACTTTACCAAAAGACTGCTAGAGCTAATAGAAAAATGTGGCAGAGTAGCAGGTTACAGAATCAACATACCAAAAATCACTAGCTTTCCTATATTCCAACAATGAATCTGCTGAGAAAGAAACTAGGAAAACAATTCCATTCACAATAGCCTCAAAAAACAGACACATTTTTAAAACCCTAAAAATAAACCTAGCCAAGCAGGTGAAAGACCTCTACAATGAAAACTATACAACAATGCAAAAAGAAATTGAAGACTTCAGAAAATGAAGAGACCTCCCATGTTCATAAACAGGCATAATTAATATTGTTAAAATGGGCATATAACCAAATGCAATATATAGGGTCAATACAATCCCCATCGAAATACAAATGACATTCTTCACAGAACTAAAAAAAAATAGTTCTACAATTCATTTGGAAGAATAAAAGACCCACAATAGCTAAAGCAAATCTAAGCCAAGAAAGCAATGCGGGAGACATCACAATACCTGACTTCAAGTTATTCTACAGAGTTGTAGTAACAAAACTTGCATAATACTGGCATTAAAACTGACACATAGACCAATGGTACAGAAGAAGACACAGAGACAGACATGCACATCTACAGCTATCTGATCCTTGACAAAGGTGCTGAAAACATATATTGGAGAAAAGACAGACTTTTTAACCACTGGTTCTGGGAAAACTGGTTGCCCATATATAGAAGAATTAACCTAGATCCTTATTTCCCACCCTGCACAAAAATAAACTCAAAATGAACCAAATATCTAGGAATTAGAACAGAAACTATTCCTAGAAGAATATATAGGTTCAACACTCCAGCATATAGGCAAAGGCAGAGATTTTCTCAACAGGACCCCTAAAGCTCAGGAAATAGTGCCAAGAGTTAATAATTGGGATAGCATCAAGTTAAAAAGCTTCTTCACGGCAAAGGAAGCAATTAGGAATGTGAAGAGAGAACCCACAGAATGGGAGAAAACCTTTGCTAGCTACTCTTCTGGCAGAGGATTAATATCTAGAATATATAAAGAACTTAAAACACTTTACACCAAAAATCAAATAACCCAGTTAATAAATGGGCAAATTAATTAAACTGACAAAATAACAAAACAAAAAAGAAAGAAAGAAAGAAAAGAAAAGAGAAATACAAATACAAATAACCAACAGATGTATGAAAAAGTGTTCAACATCATTGCAATTAGGGAAATGCAAATCAAAACTATACTGAGATTTCATCTCATATAAGTCAGAATGGCAGTCATCAAAAATATAAATAATAATAAATGCTAGAGAGGATGTGGAGAAAAAGGAACACTTTTACACTGTTGATGGAATTGTAAATTAGTATAACCACTGTGGAAATAAGTATGGCGTTTCCTCAAAAGACTAAGCATGGAACTGTCGTATGACCCAGCTATACAACTCCTTGGTATTTATCCTAAAGAATTAAAGTCAGCACACTACAGTGATGCATAGATACCCATGATTATAGCAGAACAATTTACAATAGCCAAGCTATGGAATCATCTGCTGAGAAAGAAACCAGGAAAACAATTCCATTAAAAACAATAACCTCAACAAATACACGAAACCTAAAAGTAAACCTAACCAAGCAGGTGAAAGACCTCTACCAAGAAAACTACACATCAATAAAATATTAGCAATCTTCTTACAATCTGCTTAATATGTTGTTGAACATGATTTGCTAATATTTTACTGATTGTATAGGTTCCATCAATGGATGAAATTATAAAGAAAATGTAGTGTGCATATGTAATGGAGTTGTATTCAGCCATAAAGAAAAATAAAATTATGTGATTTGCAGGAAAATGAACGGCACTAGAGATCATTATGTTAAGTAAAATAAGYTAAACCCAGAAGGTCGAGGGTGAAAGATTTTCTCTTATATGCRGAAGCTAGAGTGGAAAAGCAAAAGGAAGGTGGAGACAGATCTCATGAAAATCAAAGGGAAAATCAGTAGAGGAAAGGGACTAAAGGATAGCAGGGGTAAATGCTGGGGAGTGATATTGGCAATTATATTGTTATATGGTGTGCATGTAGGAATATGTAACAACAAATCCTGTCATTATGTACTACTATAATGCACCAACAAAAAATGTGGAGGAAAAAGAGAACGAAAAATTTATTTTTGGATTATTACTAGTATTTAGACATATGAGTGAATTTTCAATATTGATCTTATATTCTGCAACATTGCTGAATTCACTTATTAGCTGTAAGAGTTTATTTTTGTGGATTTTTTTTAGGGTTCTTCTATGTATCYRATCATGTCATCTATGAATAGATATCATTTTACTTCCTTTTTTAATATTTATTTTTTAGTTGTAGTTGGACACAATACCTTTATTTATTTATTTTTATGTGGTGCCGAGGATTGAACCCAGAGCCTTGTATTTGCTACGCAAGCACTCTACCGCTGAGCCACCATCCTAGCCTGAGATAATTTTACTTCTTCTTCTTCTTCTTCTTCTTCTTCTTCTTCTTTTAATATTTATTTTTTAGGTGTAGATGGACACAACACAATACCTTTATTTTTATGTGGTGCTGATGATCGAACCCCGGCCCCACCCATGCTAGGTGAGTGCTCTACCGCTGAGCTACAATCTTAGCCCTAACTTCTTCTTTTTTAACTTGGATGTCTTTATTTCCTTTTCTTCCTAATTGCTCTGGCCAGAATTTCCAGTACAATATTGAATAAAAGTTATCAGAGTTGGCATCCACAATCTAAGGGGAAAAGTTTTGAGTCTCTTACCTCTAATCATGTGTTCCCTCTTATTACTAGTTTGTCAGATATAGATAATTTTTTAATCACAAAGACAGTCAGATCTTGTCAAAGGCTTTCTCTACATCAATTGAGATGATAATGTACTATTTTTCACTCTGTTAATGTGATACATTACATTGATTTTCACATGTTGAACCATCCTTACATTCTGGCATGAATTCCACTTGGTCATGGTGCATGCTCTGTGTAATACTTTTGAATTTGGCTTGATAATATTTTGTCGGTTTTTTTTTTTTTTTAAAGAGAGAGAGAATTTCAACATTTATTTTTTAGTTMTCGGCGGACACAACATCTTTGTTGGTATGTGGTGCTGAGGATCGAACCCGTGCCGCACGCATGTCAGGCGAGCGCACTACCGCTTGAGCYACATCCCCAGCCCTGTCGGATTTTTTTGCATCTATATCTATCTATATTGGTCTGTGGTTTTCTTTTCTAAAATCATATTTATTTTTGGTTTTGGTATCAGGATAATAATTGGCCTCCTAAAATGAGTTAGGGTGTGTTCCCTCATCTTCTATTTTTTTTTGAAAGAATTTGTTTTGTTTTGTTCTTTGTTTTTGTATTGAGGATTGATCCCAGGGGCAGTTTACCACTGAGCTACATCCTCAGCCTTTTTGCTATTAYAGATGTGCACCACAATGCCCAGCTTTTCRTCTTTGAATTTAATTCATTTCTGACACCATTTACCTAGATATAGCTCAGGTCCTAGATGTTGAGGGCTCAGACTCCTTCCCATGGGAAGCTACCTTTCCATGAACTGCCAATAAATTAGGGTTCTCAAGACCCCTCCTCAGATTTGATTAATTGGCTAGAGTGGCTCACAGAAGTCAGAGAAACATTTTCATTTATTGATTTGTTACAAACAAGATTTTAAAGAGTACCCATCTTCATCAGATGAAGAGGTAGATGGACCACAGTATGAGAGAAGGGGCTGTGTGGTCCTCCAGGAACCTCCACCTGGTGGGGCAGGGCTGAAAGTCCCAGCCTTCTAATCCTGTCTTGGTCTTTCTGGAGACTAGTCCCCACCCTGAAACTGCCTAGGGGCTGCCACAGTCCTGGTAGGCTGAAAAAAATCTCAAAGATTCCAAGGGTTTGGGGAGTGGAATACCAAGAAATGGGGGATAATGACAAATATACATCACAATATCGTAAATATCATACTGCCACATAAAGTTTTGTGAGAACCAAAGGAGACAGTGAGTGTGAATGTCAAGGTTGGTAAGTGTGCATGGAAGTCTCATGCCATCATGATGAGGCTCTCCTAGACCAACCTAACTTCTCTTGGCTCAAACAGTGCCCCCCATTTGCTAAGGAGCCCCCCGTTTGTGCTTCTGACTGAYTGCTTTGCTCTTAGGCATCATCTTCTCCAGGAGCCCTTTGGAGGTGGCTCCAGAGGTCTCCCAGTGTGGCCAGCTCCCCCGTGGTCAGTCTGGCCCTGCTCTAGACTTCACTCCCTCCCCCTGGGGGTCACAGCTTGTTTTCTTTTAGAGACCCAAGATTTCCAAACTCTGTGGTTACTTGCCTAGCTAAAAGGGGAAGGAGAGGATCAGCCCCAGGAGGAGGAAGAGGAAAACGAGACAAACAGCCAGCGCAGTGGAGAGGAGCGTGTGCCCAGAGGTCCCCATCCCGGCAGAGCTGGGATCTGGGAGCCGGTTTGCCGTCGTCCAGTCCTGCCTCAGCCTGCTGCTGCCCCATGGAGGCCATGGGCCGTGGGACTCTGCTGGTCCTGCTGGCAACCACAGTTTGGCATGGTAAGAACAGAACTGGGGGCTTGATGGGGGTATGACAGAGACTGCCTGTGAAAGGCTCTGAGAGCCYGTTCTGGGGTGTCCCCACGCTCTGCGTCCATCTCCCTAGCACTGGGCTGCAGGTTTGTGGTTATCAGCTTTGGAAAAGCAGTCGAGAGGAAGAGCATGGGTTGGGTGGAACCAGCTTGGCTTAGGGCCATGGATCTGTACCGGCTTAGCCATCAACACACCAAGTGTCCTGAGCAAATCCCTGATACTCTCAGGACTTTGTTGACTCCGTGGCAGGTGGCGATGTGGTGCTGTGGTGCTGGGCTAGATTAATGCAGTACTTTTGGAACTGTCCTGTGTGTACAGGAAATTGACTGAGGATTTTGTCACCCGGCAGACTGTGGCTCTGTAGGTCTCTAGCTAATATTTTGCATTTCTGACAAGTTCCTAGGAGATGTGTGGGCTGCAAGTCCAGCCCTGCACTGAGCAGAGAAGTCTAGAGAGCCGCGTCAGCTCTGCCTGCTCTGCCAGCCTAGGAGTCCAGGCTCCAGGCAGGGCTCGACTCAGAAAGGCCTTCTTTGGGAAGCTGGAGTGAGAGCTAAGCTGGGGAGACAAGAGGCGGCCTCTCTGGCCCAGGGCTCAGGAATGGGGGATTTGGTGAGAGAGAGGTACGGGGCTAGAGGGGGCCCTGAGGAATACCAGCGAGGGTCTCCCCAGGCAAAGCCCCCTCCAGACATAGGCTGCTGGGTCTCAGGAGGGGAAGCTGCATGGGGATCCCACCCCACCTCCAAACTCCCGGCAGCAGCAGCTGTTAAGAACTTCCATGGAGGACCCTGCCTAACTAGCGGGAAGGGGCTGCAGGATGGGACTTGTTGGCCCAGTAAACACAGTGGRCCACAGGTGGCCCAACAAGCCTGTTTCCTATTGTATTGCCTGCTTATTTAGAGGGGTCTCGGGTGGGTGGGGCTTGGTGGGAGGAAGGGCAGCCTCATTCTGACCTCCCACAGAGGTCTCTGAGGAGTTGGTGTGTCTCTCCCCTCTTGAGGAGATGGCACACTCAGGGCCTTTTGCTGGCACAGCCAACCCAGGGGCTAGCCTGCTTGTTCTTTTTCTTATTGGGATGCAACTTATATGCATTAGAAAGCACAGATTTTTAGATGTATGTTTCAGTGCAGCGTGTCAAGTATACATGCTTACGTACCTACTGTCTCAGTGAGCATAGAGACTATTCTTCTCACTCCAGAAAGTTCCATGAGTTTGATTTCAAAGCCTTGTCTCATCGTTATCCCAGGGATGCAGCTGTGGGGCACAGTGAGTGGGGGGGGGGGGTTAGGGCTGGTGTGCTGCGGCTAATGTCCAGCTGTAAAGGAAAGGAAAAATGGGGGACACAGGGTTAGAAACCTGTTTTCATCCCAGCAGACTAGTGGTAAGTGGGGAGAGGGGGCTGCCGTAGGGTCAGGGTGGTGCCAGAGCACCTAGAGACAGGGAGAGGCTCCCTGCTCCCCGTCAGGTGATGAGCTCCTGGCTTGAGGAGGGCTGTGTTCAGGGTGCAGGAAAGAGATCGGGGTGTCTTCTGGGAGCGGATGATGGCAACATCTGTCAGGCAATGGAAACGGGTGGGAAGGTTTAGGACATGGGGAAAATTGGGGAGCTGAGACTAGAGAGGGGGAGAATGGACAGGCTCAGGGAAGACCTTGGTCTTGTTCACCAAGCCCCTCGGCCCAGGGAGCGGGGGCTGAGCAGGCTGGCCTTCCTGCCAGCCAAGCCAGCAAGGGGAAGTTGGGGGCGGAAGTGGAGAGCGTCAGCCCTGTCCTGCGTGAATATCTGGGACGACAGGGCAGGACGAAACAAGACAGAGCCTCTCCCTGACCACATTTCCAGGAGGCCAATGTGGGGCCAGAGGAATAGGCAGGGAAGGGGAAGGGAGAAGAGGCCCGGTGAGAAGAGGCAGGGCCAGAAAAGAACACAGGCCGAGGCCCGGAACCCAGGTCCCCACCACAGCCGGAGCAATTAGATAGCAGAGGACCCGACCCAGAAGGGACCTTGGATGGAGCAACAGTGGCCCAGGCAGGAGCAGCGCTGGGAACTGGCCGCCCCCTGTCATCTCCTTCTCAGCAGAACTGGGGGGGGTGGGACCTGGGACTGTTCTCAGCAGAGCAGTTGAGGCTCTGAGGGACAGCAACCTCCCCAACAGGCAAGGGGAGGAGCAGGTTCCGAACCAGCGCTGGTGAACGCCCACTCTGCAAGAAAGCCCAGGCTGGGGCCCTGGAGTGTCAGGGAGTAGGTGACTGGGCAGCGCTGGCTCTGCTGAGATTTGCCACAAAACTGCAAGAAATGACACTTGTCCCTCTTGCTGGCAGCCACAACCCCAGGTGTCCCTCAGCCTTGGCAGTACACACAGTTTACTTAATCCCTTTTGCTGATTAGAAGCCCAGGCAGGGGGCCAAGCCACGGGGTGGCGCACGCCTGTAATCACCGCAGATCCGGAGGCTGAGGCAGGAGGATTGTGAATTCAAAGGCAGCCTCAGCAAAAGTGAGGCGCTAAGCAACTCAGTGAGACCCTGTCTCTAAATAAAATACAAAATAGGGCTGAGATGTGGCTCAGGGGTCGAGTGCCCCTGGGTTTAGTCCCTGGTAACCCCCCACCAAAATAAGCAGCAGCTCAGGCAAGGAGGCTGCACATTTCTGACAGACTTGAAATCAGAACATAAAGTAAGCCATCCTGAAATCATTAGGGAGAGGATACCTTGCCAATTTGGCGCTCTTCAAAGGGGGACACTCAGTTAAGGAGTATGAATGGAGAACCTTGAATTCCTTGGAAGCCCTGAGACCCTCAGCTGGCTTGTCACTGTGCCCATCCCTAGAAACAGAAAGGGCTACAGCAGGAAGGTTGGACTAGCCAGGGGACAGTGGCAGAGCCAGCCCTAGGGCGTCCTGAAGCCCAGCAGATGGCCCTGCCTCTCCGGGGGTCTCACTGCCTGGAGCGGGGGCAGTGGCCAGGAGGGCCAGGAAGCAGAAGTGAGAACATCCCTGGTAGAAGGGCTGAGCGGAAACGGGCCGAGTGGGACGCCAGCAATGTGTTTCCGCCCACGCAGACCGGGGGCGCCTGGCAGCCCCTTGCAGGCCGTGAATCAGCTCTCACTTCCCTCCTTCACCCCTATTTTAGGCCCCGGAAAAAATGCTGACACTGCAGAGGCAACGGGCCTTCTTCCCCGAAGGCCAGATAGGAGTTTCAAGTTCTCTTTTCTCCTTCAAGAAAATTTTCCTTAAAAGAGATTGGCTCCCTAGTAAACACAGCAGTGGGGACGGGGGTGCTGGGGGCGTGGCCTATGTCACAGACAGAGTGACTAAGACTTAGGGAGTACTTGTGGACACAGGGGATATTTCAAGACCTCCATGCATTTAAACCACCTAACATGCCGCTGAATGGGTATGACTATTGTCCCCCATTCTACAGGTGGAGAAACTGAGGCATGGCACTTCTGAGGTCTCCCACTGTGCTACAGACCAGGTGTGCAGAGGTGAGGGTGGGTGCAGCAGGAGACCCAGAACCTCCCTCTCCGCTGGGCTGAGAGCCTGCATCCCTTTCCTTCTTCCCTGTGTGAATTCAGTCGGAGGACTTGACCACGCACGTTCCACTCCTTTGGGTCTCCCTTTGTTTCTTTGAGCCCTGGCTGGAGCAGGGACCCTCTGCTCAGCACAGATGACATGGCTGCTTGTGCGTCCACTTCTGGAGAGACAAATGTTGCCATCACACAGGGATGACTGAGGCAAGAGGCTGGGAACAGGTGGGACAGCAGCCAAGGAAGCTGCTGGCCTCCTGTCTCAGAGGACAGGCCATCCCTGAGCAGGATTGAGTTGGGAGCTGAGCAAATGACCAGAGGGGCACAGACGAGTTCAAGGTGACCCCCAGCTCAGCACCTAACCTGCCAAAGCACCACCAATCTTAGGGTCGGGGATGGCCCAGGGGTGCTCGCCAGGCCTCACTTCTGTCTGCCACCCCTCAGCAGGTCAGGGGGTCCCAGTAATTGAGCCCAGCGGCCCTGAGCTGGTGGTGGAGCCGGGAACAACAGTCACCCTGCGATGCAGGGGCAACGGCAGTGTGGAATGGGATGGCCCCATCTCCCCCTACTGGACCCTGGACCCTAATGCTCCCAACAGCGTCCTGACCACAAACAATGCCACCTTCAAAAACACGGGGACCTATCGCTGCACGGAACCCGGAGACCCCCTGGCAGGCAGCGCCACCATCCACCTCTTCGTCAAAGGTGAGCACTCTGAGCCCTCTTCCAAGAAGCCTGGCCCCGCAGGCCCCATTGTAATGCCCAGGAGCTCTGCCCCTATTAACATTCAGAATAAACCAACTCCGCATGTTACTGAGTGCCGACTATGAACAAGGACCTATGGCAGTGTCTCTGATTTATCATGGTCCTCACAATAACCCAGTGAGGTAGGGTCTATGTTTATGCACATTTTTCAGAGGCTCAGAGGGTTGAGTCATTTGCCCAAGGTCACACAGCATCAGTACCCAGCTGCATCTGATTCCAGAAGCCCACTCTGAAGTGTTGGTTGAATGGCCCTGGTATGGTGTAACCTTAAACAAATACTCAGCCTTTTGAGCCTCCCTGTCACCAATTGTGCAAGGAGGGAGAATCATTATAACCTGTATCCCCCTCTATCCCAGACCCTGTCCGGCCCTGGAACCTGTTGGCGGAGGAGGTGACAGTGTTTGAGGGTCAGGATGCCCTACTGCCCTGCCTGCTCACCGACCCCTCGCTAAAGGCGGGCGTCTCGCTGATGCGTGTGCGTGGCCGGTCGGTCTTGCCCCAAACCAACTACTCCTTCTCACCCTGGTATGGCTTCACCATCCACAAGGCCAAGTTCATAGAGGGCAGGGACTACCAGTGCTGTGCCTTGGTGGACGGCAGGATGGTGAAGACTCTTGGCATCCGGCTCCATGTGCAGAAAGGTGAGTGGGGCAGGAGGGGACCAGCCAGGCGTGGAGGGCGGGTGGGTAACAGATGCCTCCCTTTGGCACGTCTTCCTTCCGATCGGCCCACAGTCATCCACGGGGCGAGGTGTGTCAGTTGGGATGCAGACCACTGAAGCAACTGACCATGGGCAGATCATCTCCCACCATGAGATGCTGGACAGACACCAAACCTCACAGCTAGGAGACAGCATGGCAGGTGGAGAAGCCTTGCAGGGAAAGCGCTCTCCTTGCCTCCTGAGTGTCTCTGGACCTTGGGAAACTGGCCCAGAGCATCTTTCAACACAGCCACAAGCACAGGGATTGATTCGATGCCTGCTGTGTGTCAGGCACTGTGCTGGCTATGGGATGTCCCCTGCATGGACTGGACATTGCCCTGGAGAGTCAGACTAGAGAGACAGTAGATAGGGATTGAGATGAACCAAGAGGATCACCTGGGAAAGCCAGGGCAGGCCATGAGCGAGAGCTGATCTCTCCACGCTGGGCACAGGAGGCTTCTCGGAGGAAGGTCCTAACCTAACAAAGATCTGGAGGGTGAGAACAGTCACCCTTCACCACCCGGGATGGAAAGGATTCCAGGAGGGAGTGCTGAGGGCCAGGTCCTCAGGGAAGAAGGCGGCCCTGGTGGCCATGGTGCAGGGACACAGGTCAAGGGTACAATGGACTTTGGGCTATTATTCTGAGGGTGACAGGAAACCACTGAATGTTTACCTGGCAGAAAAACATGATCCAGTTTCTGTTTTTCAGAGGTCACTTTGGATGCTGAGAGGACCCTCGGCTATAAGGGGCAGAGGGGAGGCAGGGAGGCCTTTAAGAGGGTTATTGCAAAAGTTGGGAGCATGGAGTGGTAGTGGACTGGGATGGGTGGTGGGTGGTACTGAGGGAGAGAGGGGATGTCCCAAGGTCTCTTTAGGAGACAGAATTTCCTTTGGGGGAAACCAAGGCATAGAGCTTGCCTTCCAGGGTTCTGGATAGGAGAATGGTGGGGACCTTGGCCAGTAGCCTGGCCTACAGCAGGGAGCAGGGTGACAGCTCGGCCCTAGGTGTTCAGGGACCTTGTCTCTGCCTCAGTCCTTCCAGGGCCCCCAACCTTGACACTTGAGCCTGCAGAGCTAGTGCGGATCCGAGGGGAGGCTGCCCAGATTGTGTGCTCATCCAGCAACGTGGACGTGGACTTCGACGTCTTCCTCAAACATGGAAACACCAAGGTCAGCCCCGGGGAGCAGGCAAGGGGAAGTCTGCCCATCCTTTCAGCACACTAACCCCTGTAGGCAGAGCCTCCAGCCTCAACCCAAACTGGCTCTCCAGGCTGAGGACACAGCCCAGGCTCAGAGAAGGGAGGGGACTCACCAAGCTCTCACCACCAGCCAGTAGGTGACCCAGAACCAGGACTCAGGCTTCTGTGGGGGGAGGAGTTACTCTGGTCACTTGCTGGTCCCTTGACCCATGACCTTTGCTGCAGAGCCAGATGTGAGCTCACGGCTGACCTAGCAAGGCATTCCTAGGCTACCTTCAAAGCCCAGGGATAGAAAGGCTACTTCAGATGCTTTCAGAGAGGGAGAAGGGGGCAGTATTACCAAGAGGAAATGACAGGAGGCTGCTTTAAGAACCCCCCCCCCCTACATAACTGCATTCAGTGGGCCAGGCACAGCCCTATGCCCTCTGCATGCGAATCTCATTTACTCCTTACTACAGTCCTAGGAGCTGAGGCCAGTATTATCCCATTTTATAGATGAAGAAACTGAGGCTTAGGGTTTGGTCCCTTGCTGAGAACAGGCAAGTAGCACTCTTAAAGGCTGAGGATTTGAACTCAGAGCTTTCCAATCCCTTATCAACCTCAGTATATCATCTCCATTCCTTCTGGCTTCAGCTCAAAATCGCTCAACAATCGGACTTCAGTGATAACCATTACCACAAAGTCCTCACCCTCAACCTGGATGACGTAGGCTTCCAAGACGCTGGCAACTACTCCTGTGTGGCCACCAATGCCCAGGGCACCCACTCCACTTCCATGATTTTCCAGGTGGTAGGTGAGCATCAGAGAGGGGGGCGGAAATCCTGGGGGAGGGGGCAGCAAGGTCTGAGAAGGAAAAGGCTAATGGCAGAGAGGGCGCTGCTTCATCCTGAGCCCCACTGGGCAGCAGCACCTGCCATCCCAGACCCTCCCCGGGACCCGCTCTCCCTCCCTGGAGCTCCTGCGGTCTTGGGGTCAGCACCGTGCTCTCTGTTTGGGGATTGGAGGCCAGTACCTCCCTACTGAACAGCATCGGTTCACCCGCCCATTCCTTTATTCCTCTAAGCCTGGGACATTGATGTCACAGGGACACATGAACAGTGATCCCCTGGCGTGATCATGGGGAAAGCTTGGGGTGTCCTAGGGTTCCTCTGACTCAAGTTGGAGAAAATGGCCTCCAAGCTGGGACCAGAGGAATGAAGGTAGGTGGATGGGCCAGGGGATAACCAAGGCAGAGAATAGCCCTTGTGGCAGAGAGAACAGCATATTCAAAGAGCAAAGAGAGCGTGGCGTACCCGACACACCGAGGGAGACAAGGTAGCCACAGCAGGGCTGAGGAGTGCTGGGACAGTGGCCACGGGGTATTGGAGACGAGGCAGAAGCCAGGTGATAATGGAGACTTAATAGGTGAAGAAGTTGCGTCTCACCCTGTGTGTGAGCAGTCCCTGCAGGGTTTAAGGAGGAGGGTGGGCTCAGATTGCAAAGGGGACACTCTGTGATGGTCAGGAACATACACTTCCGGACAGCATTCTGATCTGACTCTGCCAACAAGTAGCAGGTTGCTTGACTTCTTTGTGCCTCAGTTTCCCTAGTTGGGTATAGTGATGGTAACTACTTCACAGATTTGTTGGGAGAACTAAATGAGTGTATATCTAAAAAATATGCTGGCACACAGTGTGTGCTAAGTGTGCTAGAGGGGATGTTGTCTGAGCAGGCGCAGTCTGGTGCTGGGTGGGTGGAATGGAGAGTGGAGACAGGCCGGTCAGGGAAGTGGCTGCAGGGCTTGGGGCTGGGGATGCCAGCCAAGGGTCCTAGACCACCTTGCCCAGAATGATGTAGAAGACCTGCTGGCTGCTGAGGTGAACGGGTGCAGGAGAGGACAGCCTCCCTCACTATGCCTCAGTAATGGGGTTGGAGGGACAGTGGAAGTCACTGGACTGGGAACCCCAGAGTGAAGGAGGAGTTCTTTGGGGTGGGAACAGGGTGAGTCATCTTGATCTAACCGTGGCCATGGCTTTTGTGTCGGTGGTTGGTGGCAGGGGTAGGAGGTAGGGAAGGAAGCATGAATCACCACCCAGGAGCCCAGGCAATGCACTAGACTTGCGTGGAACATGGGCCTTGCTGTACCCCATACTGTGCTGGGAGCTCTGCAGGGGAAGAAGGGCAAAAGCATGTAGAGTTGTACCCCCCCACCCAGTTATGGCATCTAATGCCATCCGCTTTCTAGCACAGGCATACAGTCATCATTCAATAAATGCTTGGGTTCCTTTACGCTTTAGACCACACATTGCTCTGGGTGCCAAGGATACATTTTGCGAGTGAAGGATGGAAACATTTGTCCACGTGCAAAAGTTTGTGTTCCAGCTGGGAGAAGAAACGCAATGAGCAGAATCTTAAAAACACATAAAGTGAGCAGCATTTGCAGTTCCAAACGGAATGTCTCCATGGCGAGCTGACGTTTGAGCAAAGACTCAAAGTTGGCAAAGGAGGAAGAAGTCTAGGCAGGGGGACAGCGACGTTCTTCAGGCAGAACTATACTTGCCACGTTGGAGGAATAAATTGACCAGGGTGGAGTGTGCAGGAGGAAGAGGGTGAGAGATGAGGTCAGAGAGATAAGGTGGCAGATTCCTAGGGCCCTGTGGGCCAATGTAGGGACTTGAGCTTTTTTTTGAAAGAGATGGTGAGTGGTTAGAAGGTTTGAGTAGTAGAATGACATGATCAGATTTGGATGTGACTGTTATGCCAGATTCGTGGGACCCCAATAGACCTCCAGGAGCTGAATCCGATGCAAGCACACAAGAGTCTTTATTACAAGCTGGATCCTGGTCCCTTGACCCATGACCTGGGTCATGGGTGATTGGTTAATACAAGAGGAGGATTCCTTTGAACTGATTGGTTTAGGCCACAAGGGGTATACCTGCTAAACTACATGGTTTCCCAACATGTTATCAACCACTATAAACTACTTGGGGGTCATCTGGCATTCCAGGTATTTTTCCTGTCTCATGCTGATTGGAGGTTGCTAGGGTTGCTATGGGTCCTCACCTAGCCTAACTGAGTCAGGGACACCTGGTGCCACAAACAACTCAGCAGGGTGGGTGTGTGCTTAGGAGTGCTCTGTGGGTTTTTCCAAGGCAAGGGTCACGCCCCCTTCCTTAGGACAGGCCTTGAGGTAGAAGCTGCTGTTATTTATTTTTAAAAATGGAGTCACATTAGTTTCTCAGTGACAAGCTTTAACAGGGCTTTCTGGTGCTTTGTTGAGGATGGTCTGTAGGGAGACAAGGTTAGAATGAAGGGAACAAGTTCGGAGGCTGCTGTGGTGGTCCAGGTCGGAGGTGATGGCGGCTTGACTGGAGTGGTGATGGAGGTAGTGGGCAGCGGTGGGATTTGGATGGATGGATGGTGAGAAGAGAGGTGTCAGAGGCAAGTCTTGGGTGGGGTGGACCCTGTGAGGTGTTCAGGGTCTGGATGAAGGGTTGAATGATTGAATGAACCATAAGCCAGGGCATCTGTCTTCCCACTGACACCACATCTCCATGTGTCCTGCTTTCCAGAGAGTGCCTACTTGAATTTGACCTCTGAGCAGAACCTCCTCCAGGAGGTGACTGTGGGTGAGAACCTCAACCTCAATGTCAAGGTGGAGGCCTACCCTGGCCTACAGGGTTTCAACTGGACATATTTGGGACCCTTCTCTGACTACCAGCACAAGCTTGATTTTGTCACCAACAAGGAAACCTACAGGTACTACCTGTCAGTTCCTGTCTGCAGAGTCTGTCAGCCAGATGGATGATGTTTTAGCCAGGAATCAGTATGTTTGGGTCACATCCCAACCTTGCTGTGTGACCTTGAAAGAGGCCCCTCCTCTTTCTGGGTCTCAATTTCCATGACTATGGAACTTCAGTGTCAGCATTCCTTCTCCTCTTCCATGACCAGTGCAGATGTGGAAAACAACCTGTGCCCCCAAGACTGTCACCCAGAAACACACTCCAAAGTTGAGTGCACGAAGTCTCTGCCACACATACAGGTTTAGCGTGAGAGGGACTCAGTGTCAAACAATCACAGATGCATCAGAAGTTCTTGAAAGGTCCTGTGGTCGGTCTCTCTCTCTCTCTCTCTCTCTCTCTCTTTTACACACACACACACACACACACACACACACACACACACACACACACACGAGAATTTCTCCCTGGCTGACCTTCTCCACAGGCTCAGAACTCACCTCTGAGCACAGTCTCACTCCATGTCTTCTTTTCTGCTATCTTTCCACTCCAAGAATTCTGTGTTTTCCACACGTCCAGCATCTTAAACATCTCTTTTCCTATCTCCTATGGCCTGTGTCAGGATTTTCCTTTGTCATCCAAAATGGCCTAACCAAGTTGAGTCTAAATAAGAAAGTTTCCTCCCCAAGTGGACACCAGTGCTGGGTATTAAAATAAATTTCTTAGCCTGTTCTATCAGGATGAGACAGTGCAGCTTGGCCAAGGACAGCTAATATGTCTCACACTCATGACAGATGCCCCTGAGCTTTTTTCTGCAACCCGTTCCTGCAGAGTCTAGATGCAGCCTCAGAGCTCTTCTTGACACAGTCCCCAGACACAATTTCCAGCACAGTTGGTGGAAACCATCTGCCATCCCTAGGCTAGATAATCTCTTAGCCATCCTCAGTCTTCAAAACGCTCTGGGGAGCTCATTCTATTTCCTGAAGCCCCAACCTCACTGACTCCTAGAACCTTGCTTGTCAACTGGCAGAAGCACAGGATTCCCCTTGTCTTCATCTTCCTCCTCTCAGTTCCCCTCTGGTCCTTCTAACCTGGGCTTCTATCTGTCTCTGGCCTAAAGCAGAAGTGTTGGAACTGGTGTCTGTAGAACTCTGGTCTGAGGCTGGTCCATGGACAGGTTTGGGGTTTTCTTATAAAGAAACAGAGACATTGTGGAAAGAAACCATGAGATCTCCTAAGACACAGTGGTCTGGGACCATTTGGCACAGGGCAGACAAAGCTGGACACAAAACAGCCACTGAATTTTAGCTTGTGATGCTTATGAGTCACCCAAGAAAGTTCAGTTATTTCCAGCTGGAGAGGTAGATGTTAGTTATCTCAAGTTATCTCGTGGGCTCACTTCAACAGCATATATATGAAAAGTGGAATGATACAGAGATCAGCAGGGCCCCTGCCCAAGGATGACATGAAAATTCATGGAATGTTCCATTCAAAAAAGATTGACTTGTGTAGAAGACTCCTCGTGCCAAAGGTCTGGCAGAACAAGACTGCCTTTTGAATATCATGGATTTTAGTCTAGTAGTGGCTGAAGACATTTTCTGAGCAAGAATTGATAATGTGATATAGTTTTTAAATTTTTTGTATGGTTATTTTTTTTCTTTTGGTCCTGGGGATCAAACCCAGGACCTTGCACTTGCTAGGCAAGCACTCTACCACTGAGCTACACCCCCAGCTCTGCTGTCATTTATTTTGAACAAATGTATTTATTACCTAAACAATGCCTTTATTTCGGGCACATTATAAAATGTGATTAAGAAAATAACCAAAAAAAAATTTTTACCTGGAACCAGTCTAGAATGACTTTTGTCATTAGTATTTGATTCCAGGATTTTTCTATAATAAAGGGTACCACTCGATGGTGTGTCTACAATGAGTCTGATCAAGCACCCCAAATACAGGTCCCTTTAATCTTCATGCCATCAGTATTACCTTTGCACCAAAAGAAATGGAGGATTACAGAGGTGAAGTACCTGCCTACGGTCACACAGCCAAGAAATGCCGGCACCAGGACTTGACCCCCAGTCTATAGGAACCCAGTTCAGAACAAAGGCCCTACATCCTGTCCCTTGTCCTAACCACAGTCCTTCTTGGCAGGGCTGTCTAGTCCAGAGAAGGTGTTAAGATCAGGGGGCCTGGGCTGGGGATGTGGCTCAAGCGGTAGCGCGCTCGCCTGGCATGCGTGCGGCCCGGGTTCGATCCTCAGCACCACATACCAACAAAGATGTTGTGTCCGCCGAGAACTAAAAAATAAATATTAAAAATTCTCTCTCTCTCTCTCTCTCTCTCCTCTCTCACTCTCTCTTAAAAAAAAAAAAGAAAAAAGAAAAAAAAAAAAGATCAGGGGGCCTGGGCTGTGACTTCCAGTACCTATAGAATCACCTCTTCTAAACCTCAAAAAAAAAAAAATTTTTTTTTTCTTTTTTTTTTTTTTTTTAAATCAGAAGACCAGTAAAGGAAATGGCGTGACTGGTTTTCCCCTATCTGGTTTTCCTAATGGCACCCCTGCTCAAGTACCTGGTTCAGCCAGACTTTGTGCTCTAGACACTGTGACAAAAAGAAAACAAAAACTATGAGCCCCACTGTCCTGGGCTCATGGATGCCTGCCCCTGTCTTGCAGGTACACCTCCAGCCTCTCCCTGCCCCGCCTGAAGCCCTCTGAGGCTGGCCGCTACTCCTTCCTGGCTATGAATGCAGGGGGTTCCAGTTCGCTGACCTTTGAACTCACCTTGTGCTGTGAGTGATGGGCAGGTTTGGGTGTGGTTTCCTGGGCTGCTGGGGGTGGGGGTGTACAGGAAGGGGTGAGGAAGGTGGCCTTCTGTCAGGATGGCTGGTCAGGGCTCATCTTTCCCTCTTCCATTTCTTCTTTCCTCCTCAGATGCCCCCGAGGTCAGTGTCATGTGGATCCCCATGAATGGCTCTGAGACCCTGTTCTGTGATGTCTCTGGATACCCCCAGCCCAATGTGACATGGCTGCAGTGCAGGGGCCACACTGATAAGTAAGTTGGTTCCTCCCATCTCCCTCACCTGGGCCAAGGAGCTGGGCAGGGTGACATGCCCATGCTGGGGACCTTCCCACCCTGAGATCCATTCTGCTCTTCCCAGATGTGATGAAGCCCAGGTGCTGAAGGTCTGGGTAGACTCCCAGCCAAAAGTCCTGAGCCAGGAGCCCTTCCACAAAGTGACCATCCAGAGCCAACTGACCATTGGGACCTTGGAACACAACACCACCTATGAGTGCAGGGCCCACAACAGCGTGGGGAACAGCTCTCAGTCCTTCAAGGCCTTCTCATTAGGTGAGCCTTCCTCCCCACCCCATCCTGGCTGAGCTGCTTCTGGAAGCGCCATCCCCAGGAAACCAGGGCTATTTGGAGCAGATCCCAGCAGTACTGAATTCCACCGCTCTGGGTCAACCTCGGGCTCCTCCTGACCTACAGGACTGCCAAGGCAGGGAGATGGGGATATCTTGACCCCTGTGAGACAGAAGCTGAGGGGGAAGAGCAGGAGGAGCAGAAAGCTGGCCTTCCAGTCCCTGCACTGTAACTCACTCATTCATACAAGCATGTAGTGGCATATAGACTCTCTTGGTGCAGGGGACCGGTGCCCCCATGGACATCAGAGTCTGGAAACACAGCCTATACAGGGACAGCCAGGACAGCCTTCTCCATCTCCTCCTGACTCCTCTCCTACCCTGAGACATGGCCATTCAGGGCCACTGCACGTGAGCCACCCAGGGCTGCTGTCGGGCTGTGCACTGGCGTAGGTGGCCTTTCTGTTTTGCACAAAGGCTCCCTGGGCTACCCTTAGCACCCTCAGGCCCTTAAGAACCAGGCTTCAGCCCCTCCTGTGGCCATATCCTGGTGAGGTTCTGGGCCCAGAGGGAACAGAGTGGGCTCCTGACCTCTGCCTGGCTCAGGGATCCATCACTCATGTGCCCCAGGCTGCTGGCCTACAGCATGGCTCTCAGGGCCTCTCTGCTCTCTGCTCACTGTGGTTGTGCATTTTAAGTAATGAGCCTGACATTGTGTTGTTGGCATTGTGACAGATATTGTGCTGAACTCTTTGCAGGTGTTACCTCAATTAGTTCTCATAACCTTAAGGAGGGAAGGCCTGTCTTCCTTCCTATTTGGGGCATGGTAAACCTGAGTTTGAGGTCATAGGTTCAGTGTCACCCATTTCAGGTGACAGAGGTGGAATTTGACCTCATACCCAAATGGACCCCCTACCTGCTCCAAAAGGGAAAGAAATTATGACCTTCAAAACACATCAAGAGAATGAAGGTTCTAGATCCAGGGAAGAAAAGACACCAGACCCATGAGCCTGGCTCACATATCCTCCAGGGGCTGTTTAGGACACATGGAGAGGCTTCAAGGGAAATGCAAGGGAGGCAAATTCAGTGTGACCTCCAGCCTTTTTCGGGGGGTTAAAGGGGATACTGGGGTTTGAACTCAGAAGCACTCACTGAGCCACATCCCCAGCCATATTTTGTATTTTATTTAGAGACAGGGTCTCACTGAGTTGCTTAGTGCCTCACTTTTATGGAGGCTGGCTTTGAACTTGCCATCCTCCTGTCTCAGCCTCCCAAACCACTGGGGTTACAGGCATGCACCACCACACCCAGCAATCTCCAGGCCTTCTTTCGCTTGTTTTTTTTTTTTTTTTTGTTTGTTTGTTTTTTGTTTTTTGAGCACTGGGGCCTGAACCCAGGGCTCCAGGCATGCTAGGCAAGCGCTGTGCCACTGAGAGACACCCCAGCCCTGCTCACCCAGAGGTGGAGCTGGTGACTCCCCTGTGGGGGCACAGGTGGTGTTGGCAAGCAGTTGCTGGGCCCTGAGCTAGGCTGTGCAGAGGTGTTTCTTGCTCTGGCAGGGGTGAGACTGAATGACCCCAGAGCCCCCTCCCCCTCCCCTCCCCCTGTGCCCTAGCTATAGGAGGCTGTGATTCTGGACAGGATTTGGGGATGGGCATGACAGAGTGGAGAGGAGGGCGTACCTGCAGAGGGTTCTGCAGGAGAGGCCACTGAGGCTCTGAGGGCTTCTCAGCACAGGGTCACTTCATTCAGTCAACAAGCACTTAGTGAGACCCACTGTGTTCCTGGCAGTGCGCTGCCTGGTCCTGGGGGGGAGAGGGGGCACAGAGGTCCTGCAGCTGCTCACTCCTCTGCCCTGTCCCCTCAGAAGCCTACAGGCAGGACCCGGACGAGTTCCTCTTCACACCAGTGGTGGTCGCCTGCATGTCCGCCATGGCCTTGCTGCTGCTACTGCTGCTGCTGCTCTTGTACAAGTACAAGCAGGTGAGCTGAGGCAGCAGGAGGGGCACCCTGTCCTGAGGAGCCAGACGAGACGGTGCCACAGGTGCACGGTCCACCCTGCAGCGCCCCCTCACCCACTGTCAGTCAGTCATGCAGTTGGCAGCTTCTCAGCATGCGTCTGATGGGTCCCCACATGGGTTAGGTCCTGGAGGCGCCTGGTGCTCAGCCCTACAGGCTTCACTCTCCAGGACAGGGAATGGCCACTAGTCCAATAGCCACAGGAGTGAGGGTGTGTCTGTGGAGCCAAAGGTGCCATCAGGCCAGCAATGGGACCCCGGGAGAGGATGGCATGGGATCCTGTCCCAGGCTAGGGCTTCCAGGCCATGCTCCAGCAAGATGGACACACAGAGGGCATCCCTGGGCTGGGCCTGAGTCTCGCCCCAGGTAGCATGCGGATTCACAGAGGACAGAGATCTCTGGGCTTTGTCCTCTTCCTCCATGTTTAATATCCACATGGACCAGAGCTGCCACCTGTTTCTGCTGCACATTCAGTGTGCCGCCTGGCTGGCTGCTTTAGCGATGGCAAGTTTAGTTAGGGGCATTTTGTGAAGTGCACTACTGATGTCACCTCAGTGAGCGCCCTCCGCAGCTGTGGGACATAGGCACTGTCACTAATCCCATTGTACAGAGTTGGAAGCTGAGTCTTAAGAAATGGAGATGGTTTCCCTGCTCTGTGACCAGTGGATGACAGAGTTTAGCTTTTAGTCCGGAAACGACCGACCCCAAAGCCAACTTTAGACATTATGTGAAATATTGGATCATCTCCTTTTATCCTCATGACAACCTGGAGTGCAGAGTTGGGTACAAGTCAGCGTTCTACACATTAGAACACTGAGCTCAGCAAGTGCAGAATGTGCTCATGGTATAGAGGGCTGTGTCCTCTGGGAGACCAGGTGCCTCCATACCAGAGCCCACAGCCTCTGCCACCTGGCTGGCCTCCTCCTCACACAAAAGATGATGCCCAGCATGACCAGCCATTGAAAGGGCCAGGCCAGAGGGTTGTGGAGGTCAGAGGCAGAGGTCCCCTCTGTAAGGGGGTCCTGGAGGCTGCTTGGGGGAGGTGGCTTGGCTTGGATGGAACAGGTTTGGGGTGGGGATGAGAAAGGAAAGATGAGGCTTGGGAGAAAAGTTGCTCTGGGCAAGAGGGCGGTGTGTGAGAGGCACATGAAGGGAAGGCCAAGGTAAATTCTGGAAACGAGACCTGGAAGAGGAGGCAGCAGGGCTGGGGCTGGGGGCTTGCAGGGTTGGTTGGACTCCATCCTGTAGATCTAGGGCTGTGGGTGGGTTTGAACAAGGGAGTGATGAGGGGGCGGATGGTCCCTTGGCTGCCTTTTCATGCCATCCGTGCTTGGATCTTGTGAGAAGGGGACTGAGAAGGGCAGGATAGGAGGTGTGGGGGATCACAGGGTCAGGCTCCCTTGGCTCATGCCAGCATACAGCAGGAGAAGGTACTCTGAATGCAATCCCAAGGAAACAGGGCCCAAGATGAACGCTCAGGGGTCTGGGCCTACCTCTGACTGTTTTGCCAGGTGATCTTGGCTGACTCACTATCCTCTTTGGCCTCGGTTTCCCCTCCTGTATGAAGAGACTGGTGACCTTTACCAGCTCCTCCTCCTCCAACATTAAGATCTTTCTGGGCTGAGTGCTCTGGTACACCCCTGTAATCCCAGCAGCTCAGGAGGCTGAGGCTGGAGGATCACGAGTTCAAAGCCAGCCTCATCAACTTGGCAAGGTCCTATGCAAYTCATCAAGACTGTCTCTAATAAAACATAAAAAAGGGCTAGGGATGTGACTCAGTGGCTAAATGCCTCTGGGTTCAATCCCTGGTACAAAAAAAAAAAAATCTGCATGTCTGCTTTAGTAGTCAGGGATAGGGAGTTAGTGATCCTGGTCTGGCTCTGCTGGTCAGATCATGGGAGTCTGTGCTTCAAGGTTTCTGTTTCTCCATTTGTGAAGTGGGGTTACAGTGGCGAGCTGTCTCAGGGGTTCTCTGGTCTGTACCTGCCACACACGAGGGACTGGGCAGAGTATGAGGTGCAGACAGTGCTCCAGGGCAGAAGCTCACACCCTGGCCCGGGAGGAAGTCAGCTGGGGAACCCAAGTGAGCTCATGCATCTGGGACTGGACGAGGCCTGAGGCTGGGCTCCTTGGCTACGCACCCAGAGTGGTGGTTGGGCCCTGTTGCCACCTCCACACTGGACCTTACTCACTCTCGTGGCTGCCAGTTCCCTCTCAGAGCAGCTCTGACTGGTGCAAAGTTCCTCCTTATGTGGAATTGAAAATTCCCTCCCAGTGTCCCAAAGAGCCACCACCTCACCCAGGTCAACCTCATGGAGGTTCCTGAGAAGGGACCAGTACCCACCCCCCAACACCCCTCCGCCACAGCCCTTCTGCCTGCCTGGGCTGAGCTGCCTCCATTGGCTGTGGTTTAGGGACAGCGTATCCTCTCTCCCAAGGGGCTCTTTTTGGAACATGTACTTATTGTCACTTCCTTGCTCCCATCCAGAACTTGAACTAGGACCACCAAGGTCAAGAGTAGACCTGTAGCTTCAGGAGGTCCTCCTCCCCACACCCACTTCTACCATGCGGCCTGCGCAATGGTTTCATTAATGAGGTTCTAGGCATAAAGTTAGTTAGAAGAGATCGAAATAAAACACACAGACTCAGTTACCTTATTTCTATTGCTAGGTCCGAGACGGCTCACCTCTCTGGTTCCCTCCTCTAACCGCCCAACAGGGCAGCAAGGATTACTCAGGGCTAGCAGGAGAGAGAGAGAGTGAACACACCTGGGAGTAGCCTTTTATTGGGGAACAAGAGATTCAGGGGAGAATTCCATCCAATGAAGGCTGAGCAGGGGCTGCACTCCAAGGTCGGGGCCAGTGATTGGGTCCCCGGGGTCAGTGGTCAGGCACACCCCCACACGGATGGGTTCTCTCATCAGGAAAGGGCCGGGAAAGCTTCGACACAGCCAAAGCGCCTCAGACCCTTAACGGGAGCCACCCAATCACGTGTCAGAAATGGCTTCCCACACCCACTCACACACTCTTAAGCTCCCCCAAGCTGAGGTGCCCATCAGACAAGACTTAGAAGAGTCAAGTCAGTCATCCCTCTGCCTCAGGGTCTGCCATCCAGTCTTCCTGTACCTTACCCTTTGCTAGGTATTCAGCCTGACCTGTCCCTCATGGCCAGGCCTGGCATGAGGAGTAGCCCGGCCTGAAGAAGGGCTGTTTCTGCCTCAGGGCTGAGTCATTGCCTTCTGTCCCCAAAGAAACCTGGGTGGGGTTGCAGGGGAAGAGGAAAGGGCAGGAGTCAGCCAGCAGCAAGGAGGGGACACAGGGAGGGAGCCAAAGAGGGACAGCATGGAAGGCCGCTGAAGAGACTAGGATCCTGGGGCCTGGACTGGGCTTGGGGCCAGGAGGTCCCCCTGAGCTTCCCATGGGAGTTGCTCAGGCCTCCACCTTCCTGAGGCAGGACATCTGCCCACGGCACCCCCCGGGCCTAGATGGTTCCTGAAGTCTCCATGCCCACTTGGATCCCAGAAGGGAAGCCAGGGGTGGTCATGGGGCGCAGGTCCAGGAGCAGATGAACTATGTGCGGCAAGTATCTACCCAGGGTCAGCTCACAGAGGGGCTCGGGAAGCACCCACTGCCCCATTACAGTCCCCTTCTTGGGGGATCTGGCCAAGGCAACGCCCGGACCTCAAGTCTCACTGGTAGTGAGAAGCTCCCCTGGGCAGAAGCTCTGGAGCCACGTGGGAGCCCATCCAGGGCTGTAGGACAGGACAGGTCCTCCTAGGGATAGTGCCTCGAGTGCCTTGGGAAGGGTCTGTGCTGAGCTGGAGGACGGTAGGGATTCCCGAGGTGGATGCAGAACTCAGCACTGTAGTTAGGATCCAGATGTGAAATTCCACCTCTTCTCCCTTTGACCCTCCTCATCTCACCCCTGCCCAGTGCGGGGCAGGGATGGGCTGACTCAGCCCAGCTGCAGGGGGACACAGGAAGGAGAAGTGGCGAGGAGAAAAAACAGCCGTGGCCACAGGGGCTCCTGGAGATGGAAGTGGCCGGAGAGGTCAGAGTGCCCTCCCCACTCTTGGCCTCTGTCTCTTGGGTTAGGCCCCTACAGGCAGGGCCTGCATCCTCAGAGACTCAGGAAGCTTCTCTCGTCTCATTTCAGGCTCTCCTTCCAAGTTATAACATGGATGTTCCTAGGTTTGCCCATAGCCTACCCTCTTGAATAGAGCCTGGAAGTTCTTCCTTATGACTAACTGCAGTCTTTTTTTCCCAACTTACCCACTAGAAGTTGCTCCCTATGGCTATCTAGAGTCTTTTAACCTGGCAAGACTGGCAGCCACCATCTGTTCACACACCCAGCTGGGGTATCCAGGGAAGGATCTACTAAACACGGCCAAGCCGATCCCCAATCCCAAGGCCTGCTGGGAAAGAGAGTTGTGTCCTCAGTGTCCTCTACTGCCCCAGTCCTCCTCAGCACTTCTCCCGGGCAATCCTTGGCACAATGCCCCTTGCAGCTGCCTGGGGCAGGGAAGGGAGAGGCAGCTGTTTCTCCTCTCCAGATCCCACACCCAGCTCTGCGAGCCAGAAGCTCACCAGGGAACCCCCCTGGGCTGTCTCAGCAGACCTGTGCCAGACTCTGCGGGCTTCTTACTGCATCTGTCATAGCCCTCGAGACCTTCCTGCTTCTCCGACCTCCTCCTCACCTTCCCTCCACACCAACCACTTCTTTGTCCCTCCAACTTGCCAGGGTCTTTCCCATCTCAAGCCACACCATTTGTGTGTACTTTGCCAACCCTAAGGCTGCCCCTCAGGTGTCCTCTCTGACATTGCTGTCTATACCGTGACCCTGTTCACTTCCTTCACAGCACTAACACTATTTGCAGAATTCCCTACATATACATTTACTTGCATTAAATGCCTCTCTGAGCTGCTAAAGTGCAAATAACACTGGAGTCTAGAGTTTGTGTTGTACGATGCTGAATCAGCAGTGCCTGATAGAAGTAGATGCTCAGTAAAATATTTAGATGGGACTATAATTCAGCCTTAAAAAGGAGGGAAGTTCTGACACATGCTAGGACATGAATGAACCTTGAGGATATTATACTTGGTGAAATAAGCCAGCCACAGAAGGAAAATAATATCTAATCCCACTTAAACGAAGAACTTAGGACGATAAAATTCATACAGACAGAAAATAGGATCATGGTTGTCAGTGGTGGGAGGCAGGAGAACAGGGGAGTGGTTCTTCAATAGGTATAAGAGTTTCTGTTTTGCAAGATGAAAAGAGTTCTGGAAATTGGTTGCACAATAGTGTGAATGTACTTAATACCACTGAACCATACACTTAAAAATGGTTGCAATGGTGAATATGATGTTATGTATATTTTACCATAATTAAAAATAAAACAGGGCTGTTGAGTACTCAGTGGAGGAGTGCCCATTTAGCATGCATGTGGCCGTGGGGTCAATCCTCAGCAGAAAAACAAAACAAAACAAAACAAAACCAAAAAATTGGGGTGAGAGGCTGGGCAAGTGTGTGAATGACCATGGATAGATCTTGAGTTCTACCCTCCCTCCTGGCCCAGGAATCACCAATTTATCAGAGATATCAAGGCCCTTGGAGGTTGGTTATCTTGTCCAAGTCCTTTAATACGCAGAAAGGGAAACTGGGGCTTGAAGGCAAGGGAAGGCAGAGTTGAGCAGGGACTGTCCACGAGCTGCCATGACCCCCTCCCATGGCGGGCCCCACCCTGACTTCTCCAGCATAGTGCTTTAGGACCGCCTGTACCCCCTGCTCTTGGGAGGTGAGATCAAGGTCTGTCCCGCCAGCCCCAGTTACCTCATGCCTCCTCTCTTGCCTGCAGAAGCCCAAATACCAGGTGCGCTGGAAGATCATCGAGAGCTACGAGGGCAACAGCTACACCTTCATCGACCCCACCCAGCTGCCCTACAATGAGAAGTGGGAGTTCCCAAGAAACAACCTGCAGTTTGGTGAGAGGGGGTCTCAGCACCCCATACCTTCCATTGTGGAAACCCGGGGGGCTGCAGGAGCCTGTGGGCCCTGAGAGGGAGGCTGGACCCAGGGACCTAAGGAGACTATGTGTACTACAGGTAAGACCCTCGGAGCCGGAGCCTTTGGGAAGGTGGTAGAGGCCACAGCCTTTGGTCTGGGCAAGGAAGACGCTGTCCTGAAGGTGGCTGTGAAGATGCTGAAGTGTGAGTGAGGAGAGGGGAGTTGGGGCCTGGGCTGGCCCTGTGGTCACACCTGCAACACCTGCATTTTCAGCCTATTGGAGTCTGCAGGATAGAGCCCAGAATTCAGGACTGAGAACTTGGCTTTTTATGGGAGCTCCAGACTGTGACTCCTGTCTCTGAGGAGCTCTTGGTCAACCTTTGGGTGGGCGGGGGCTTCTGACTAAGCCCCAGGGAGGTTGGGATGCATAGAGGCCAGACCATGGCCTGGTCACAGCTTGTATTCCAACCCCCCACAAGAGCAGCTCGGTGACAGGCCCACCCCCCTCTTCCTTCCATCTGCACGTCTGCTTTCTTTCTCCCACTTTGACCTCTGATGTGTCTGGGCCTCGGGAAACTCCTGCTTGCTCTGACCTGTGGCCCATCTCCCAGCCACGGCTCATGCAGATGAAAAGGAGGCTCTGATGTCGGAACTGAAGATCATGAGTCACCTGGGCCAGCACGAGAACATAGTGAACCTTCTGGGGGCCTGCACCCATGGAGGTGAGGGGGCCTTTACAAGAATGGGGGCCCATGGTCTTGGGAACTTTCGGGGCATCTGAGGATCCCAGGGCCACCTAGCTCCATGCTCCCCTTCTCATCTTCTCCAAGTGCCAGTGGGATCCCTGCCTCAGCTTCCCTGAAACCGCTAGGCCACAGTCCTAGGTTAGGCAGGAACTACTTAGGGTGTCACACCAGCTCTGTGGAGCTGCTTTGTGGCTCCTGGACTTCCTTGAGCACCACAGCCCTAGGGGAGAAGGTGGAAGTATAGACTTTTGGACTCTGTTTCAAGGGCATCTGATTTTATAGGTCTGGAGTGAAGGCCCCAAATCTACCTTTTAAGAGTTGCTACCCAGTCAGACATGGTGACACACATCTATAATCCCAGAGACTTGAGAGGGTGAGGCAGGAGGATCCTAAGTTGGAGATCAACCTGGGATTATCAACTTAGCAAGACCCCATCTCAAAATAAAATAAAAAGGGCTGGGGATGTAACTCAGTGGTAGAGCACTCCTGGGTTCCATCCCCAGTACCACAACATACACACACACAAAAGATCAGAGCCCCACCCAAGGACGCTTGTACACTCACCCCCGGTACCACAGAGGTGCCCCAGGACTCCAAAACCACTTCCATTGTCTTCACAAAGACAGCTTTGCCCTCTACTGAATGGCCATGGAGTTCCTTTGAAGAAAAAGTCCTTGAGCTGAAGTTCTTTTTGAATTCCTCCACATTAGACAGCCAGGGTTACCATAGGCACAGAAAAACCTGAGCACAGAGCCAGGATTAGAACTCAGGGGTGTGGGGTCCCAGGCCAAGGGCCCTGTAGCCCTCAGCCCCCATGCTGATATTTACTCTGGGGAGCAGGGATACAGGGCGACCCCCTCACCCTGCACCCTTGGCCACTGCAGGGCCCGTTCTGGTCATCACCGAGTACTGCTGCTATGGCGACCTGCTCAACTTCCTGCGAAGGAAGGCTGAGGCCATGCTGGGACCCATCCTGGATTCAGGTCAGGACCCCGAGGGAGACACTGGCTACAAAAACATCCACCTGGAGAAGAAATATGTCCGCAGGTAGTACCCTGGCAAAGGATGGGAAGTGGACAGGGAGTGGGGGCCGGGGTCTATGTGAAGGGTCAGCTCTGCCTTGGGATTCCTGCACATTCCCATCTGTGCCACCCCAAATTTTAGGGCAACTCTGCTCTTCTACCACATATTCCCATCATTGAGCAAATATTTGAGCACCTACCACCTTCTGGGAATGTGGAAGGCAAAGATGGGAGGTCACCAAAGATGGCAGAGAAAAGAGTTAAGGAAGTCACTGCCTTAGTGTGCGGAAAGGACCACTGAGGTCCATGTCTGAGCCCTGAGCAGAGATGGGAAGATGTGGGGGATCATTGTCCATTTCGCCCATCACCCCTGTGTCATTCCACTCAGGAGGAGTCAGCCTCAGTCCCCATATCACCACTGACAAGGGTCTGTTAGTTGTAGGGAGAGAGGAGGCCAAAGCAGCAGGATTGCAGCCAGGTCCCCGGCTCACCTGGGCCTCTGTGTCCAAAGGTTAGCCATCAGAGTGTTGAGCCTTTCAGGGTCTTTCTTGCTGTTGTTTTGTGGTGCTGTGATTCCTGGAGGCCACTCAGAGGCAGATGGACAGAGCCACATGGGGAACCAGAGAGAGGAAGTGGCAAGTTTCATCCACATGAGTGGGCCGAGGTGGAACCTGGGCTAGAATTCTGCTCTTCTGATTCTGGGTCCAGGGTTCACAGGAGCCACGCTGTTACTCTGAAGTTCTGTCTTGGGGGCTCAGTGGAGCTCCAGAGCCAGGCTGCTGGGGCCAGGAGAAGAGCAAAACAAGAAGGGTGTGTGTTGTGCCCTTATTTTGGTACTAGCTACTGCCAAGCACAGGGAGGCAAAAGGAGAAGGAGATCATCTGTCTTTGCCTAGTCTTCTCAGAAATGAGAGCTAGCTGGTCTGCTTCCTCTTCTGATTCCCCGATACCCCTCCACAGGTGGCACACACTAAGCCTCTTCAAAAGCCAAACCAAATCCAAATGAGTGTCAAAAGAAAAGTATTGACTTTAACCTTCAAATCTGCAGAGGGAAAGTATTTCCAGAGTGGAGAAATTTCAAGGGCAAATGGCACATGAACCAATCCTGCCAATGGGATCCAGGCTATGTTAATAAGAAGCAAAGTTCTAAAACAAAGGAGAGTGTAGTTTTTGCCATAATAAGTTAATAAATAAAACACTAAGTTCCCTTTCTGGGAACACTGGAGTGTGGGTAGAGTCAGGCTGCCTATCTTCAGCGCAGAAGGACAGGATGCAAGGAGTTCAGAGATGGTATCTTGTTGGATTTTTAGCAACAGAAGTGGCTGGCCAGTCTGGAACAGAACTTCTAAAACTCAAGTCTTCTCTGCTATGGGACTGTTAGAATGTACATCTCAGGCCACCTGCCCATATCTGCTGAGTTAGAATTCTCATTTTAAGAAGCTTCCTCAGATGGTTCATCTGCATGAGTTAAGAGCTCTCCTGAACCTGGAGAGACTGAAAACTGTGAATGTCTTGCCCCTAGAGTTTCTGGGTGGTCTGGGCCTGGAGAGAGTTAAAAGCTCCCCAGGTGATTTTAATGTGAAGCCAAGGATGAGGATATCATCTAGAGAAGAAAGGATTCAAAGTAGTGGCCATAGAATGTGCTCAAATTCCAGCAGGATTGTTATGGGGAACTATGCTCCAAATTCTTGGTATCCCTTGAGGATAGAGCAAGGATCAGAAAGAGGAAAATCCAAGGGGCATATTGGCATTAGGTGCAGTGAAGAACTTTCTAAGGCAAAGCCCACATCTATCTATCTAAATATAGAATGGGTTGTAGCTGGCACTGGGGATTGCCAGGCCCAGCTCAATGATCTGCACAGACAGAAGGAGGGCTTCTTATCAGAAAGGGGTGCTCAAGTCATCCTTGAGGTTCATTCCCTTGAGTAGCCAGGAATGTTCAAAGGATGGCTGGAGGCCAAGCCTGAGCTAGACAGTGCAGTGATGGGACTGACCAGCCTTCAACCCTCTCTCTTATGTAGGGACAGTGGCTTCTCCAGTCAGGGTATGGACACCTATGTGGAGATGAGGCCTGTTTCCACTTCTTCTTCCAATGACTCCTTCTCTGAGCAAGGTGAGGAGGTAACATGGCCAGGGGAGAAAGGAAGGGCTACTGGGGGACGGGGGATGGGGTAGGGTTGTGGTGAGGCTGCCCTGATGTCTCTTCCCCTCTCAGACTTGAACAAGGAGGACTGCCGGCCTCTGGAGCTCCGGGACCTGCTCCACTTCTCCAGCCAAGTGGCACAGGGCATGGCCTTCCTTGCTTCTAAGAATGTGAGTCAGAACCAGTTGGGCCTGTGGTGGCCCAGGTCCCTTTTGGGGAAGGGGGCAGAATTCCTGAGGGCGGGATGCAGGGGAGGAAAGGAGAGATTGTGAGGGGCAAGGGGGGAGTGGGAGTCCAGGAGAGCAGTGACCCCAAAGGCCTCAGGAGTGAGTGGGAGGAGCTGTGCCCAGGGCTCATACTTTAGCAGAAATGGGGTACCCAGCCTGGACAGGCTGTTTCACTCATTTTTACCTAATAGTGTGAAGGAGACAACATTTATGTCCCCTGACAAAGCACATCATTTCAGGGAAGAAAACAGAACTTTTCTCAGTTATGAGGATGAGATGACATATAGAAGACACTTAGACCAGGAACAGTGCCTAGGAACAGAGCTCATGCCATCATCCTTGGGACAGGATTGGGAGTCAATGGTCTAGTGGCCGGCCCTGCCTCTTGCTGTGATTTTGAGCAACTAATTAAATTCTCTGATCTTCAGTGTCTATACCTATAAAAATAGGCACAGTCCCAGAATAAACTAGGTATTCAAGGGTAAACTAGGAATATGTGCAAATGCTCGCGGAGGACTTGGAACAGTCAGGCCCAGAAGAGAGCAACTGCCCTTGCTTGTAATGGGCAGGCTCACTACATCTGGGCCCATGGCAGAGAGCCCAACTTGAAGGCAGCTTCTATGGCTCACAGACAAAGGTGTAGAAGGGCAAGGAAGCAGGTGACAGTGGCTTCTAAACATCAAGTTGACCATATTACATTTTCTCTAGTCCTGGGCCCTGGTATGTTTGGACAGGTATTCAGGGTAGAGGACCAGAACACGTCCACTTCCTCCCAGGGACAGGCCTTGCTCTCCACCCAGGCTTCTGTCCCCCTCACCTTGGGCCGGGTGGAGAGCCATACTAATCCTGCAGTGCTTTCCCTCAGTGCATCCACCGAGACGTGGCAGCTCGAAACGTGCTATTGACCAATGGGCACGTGGCCAAGATTGGAGACTTTGGGCTGGCCAGGGACATCATGAATGACTCCAACTACATTGTCAAGGGCAACGTGAGTGCTGGGGGAAGGTGTGCCAAGCTGAGGAGGGGGACAGAGCGCCAGGGCCCTGAGTAATGGGGACTATTGTGCCAGGCCCGCCTGCCTGTGAAGTGGATGGCCCCAGAGAGCATTTTTGACTGTGTCTATACAGTTCAGAGTGACGTCTGGTCCTACGGCATCCTCCTCTGGGAGATCTTCTCACTCGGTGAGCCATTGAGCCCACTGTGGGCCTGGGCTGGGGCCCACTCCTCTGTTATCCCACTTGTACCTCAAGGAATCTAGCCAAGGATGCCTGGTGCCCAGGGCAGAGCAAGGGCTGGGCAAGGACTCTGAAACCCAGGATGGCAGCCTTTGTGTGGGCTTGGCAGACCCTCCCCATCAGACACCCACACTCTCTGGCCTCTTCCTTCATCTCTGCTCGTGCAGTTGGGGATACCCAGGGTGCTGCATCCTTTGTGCAAAACCTTGAAGCAGCAGCATTACCTGCTAGCTCCTTGGGACTAGCCACAGGGACTCATGCTGTCCTCAAATACAGTGCTCTATCAACTTGATAACTACCTGGGATTGCCCCTACTTTACTGAAATCCAACCTGTCCACCCAATTCCAAAGCCTGTGCTAAAATTCTCCATGTGGTATAGAAAGGCTTGGCAGAGGCTTTCTTTCACCTCCAAGTGTAAGCCAGCTGCTCAGTGCATGGCAGCCAGTCCTGGGTAGGAGCAGCTGCTGCTTTAGAGCCACAGCCCAGGTAGGACCCCCGAGATGTGAGTGGGGAAGAGGAAGGCAAATGACAAGTATGGCCATGGCATGATACTGGCCCTTGCAGGGTTGAACCCCTACCCAGGCATCTTGGTGAACAGCAAGTTCTACAAGCTGGTGAAGGATGGATACCAGATGGCCCAGCCTGCATTTGCCCCGAAGAACATGTACGTGAAGGGGTTCCAGGGAGGGAGGACGACACCTAGGTTTTGGTTGGAAGGGGATGAGAGGGCATGTAGCCCTGGTTTCTGTCCAGAATGCTCCAGGCTTTACCTCCTCCACAGTGGCCTCTGAAACAAGCCCCTTTGATGGAGTTCAAGGTTTCCTATTAGCATGGGGCTGTTACCGAGAAGGCTCTGAACTGGGGCTGGTCCTAACCTCAGATGGTGGGCTTTTAACTCAGACGGTTAGTTACCTTGATCCTAAGGATCCCAATGGCCTCATCTGTCAAAATGGATGTGATGAAAGTACCCATCTTCAAGGGTGACCATGAGGACTGAGAAGGCAAGCAAAGGATTTAGCACAGGTTTTACACTGAACTTTGTTTTGCAGTGCTGGAGTCTGGACCCAGGGCTTCTCCAGCACTACAAAAAAGCGCTACACCTCAGCTCCTAACACACTTTTGACTAGTTCTCGGGACTTCTGGGTATATAATGGTTCCCAGGGTGACCGGGAGCTTCATGTGGGCAACCTCTGTCTCCAGATACAGCATAATGCAGGCCTGCTGGGACCTGGAGCCCACTCGCAGACCCACCTTCCAGCAGATTTGCTCCCTCCTCCAGGAACAGGCCCAAGTGGACAGGAGAGAGCAGGTGAGTGGGGCAGTGCTCAGGGTGTTGGTGGTTGGCTAGGAAAGGCTGGGCCTGATGAAGCCAATCTGATTGTCTCTGGTGTCTCCACTCTCAGGATTATGCCAACCTGCCAAGCAGCAGCAGCGGTGGCAGCAGCAGCAGTGGCAGCAGCAGCAGCAGTGAGCCAGAGGAGGAGAGCTCTAGCGAGCACTTGGCCTGCTGTGAGTCAGGAGAGAGCACCCAGCCTCTGCTGCAGCCCAATAACTACCAGTTCTGCTGAGGCAGCCGACTGAGCCTTGCCTCTCCTCTTCTCCAGGACAGGGTGATGTGGGGAGAATGTACACACTCTACCCACGATCACTTCACTCAACAGCTCGGTCCAGCTCTGAAACTTGGGGATGTGAGGGATCCTGAGGACTGAGGACCCCATTCTAGAGCCTGGGCTACCACTGCCAGGAAGGGGCTGGGGCTGAACCCTGCCCCTCACCCACCCGCTACCATTCTCACATTGTTGGCCTCACGTTTGCTACACCAACTAGTGGAACCCCAGTTCCTTCTCTTAATCTGTTCCCATCTCTAAGAACCACCCTACTTGCCTGACCCCCCTCATCTCTATGGAAATGAACTGATTTTGTGTCTATGAAGTCCCTAGGAATTACCCTGATATTGAAGAAATAAGGCTCCTCAGGGTTACGCAGCCCTGCAAGTGGCAGGACAGCTCTGACCATGTGGAGCAGGAGTGGAAGGTGATGCAGACCTCAGAGCGGCTCCTTTGCAACAGTGTGACCAGGCCTTCTATCCCCTGCAGCCTTCTCACTCCACAGCTCGCCCCACCCTGGATCTGGTACTGCTACAATGAGCCAAGTGGCAGCTATATGAGGGGTGTTTTGCCCATCTCGGGCTGGAAGGCAGGAGACCTTTGAGTGTGGCAGGCCACACCAAGCAAGAAGCATGCACTCCCCAAGCTGACTCACCATAACTAACAATCATACTGTGGACGTCCCTGTCAACATTAAACTAACAGCATTAACACAGCTGGTCTCTGGTTCTTTGCGCCACCCAAGTGCCTGCAAATTCCCTGGGCCCTCCTTCCATCCCTTGTTCACATGAAGTGATAAGCTTAAAACCTCATGAACTCCACCACAATGTACCCCACACAATGACCATAGAACTGGCTCTTGCATCATCAAAACCAGATAATTTAATAAACTTTATTCTTTTTGGGGAAGAGAGGGGGGGGAAAGCCACCTACTCCACTCCTCTCAATAAATTAAGTACTTGGCCAATTCTCGGGCCCTAAGCAAACTGTGGGCACTTGAGCCAGTCCCGCTGTTTCCATATGGCCCAGTCTGCTTCCCCTTCACAGAAGGGAGTTTTCCTACTGCTGCCAGGTTATGTCACAACCATGGGCCACATCCCCTCTGTGGTGTGGGTTCCAGGGCCCAGAGAGGATGTAGGGTGCAGCAGCAGTGGCCAGGGAAAGCAGGAAGGGGACTCTGTTCCCCAAAACTCAGGGCAGAGAACAATCCTGGAAGAGAGCTGTGGCTGACTGTCCCTCCCTCCCCAGCTTCCCCCAGAGGTGGGTACAGGAAGAGTCAGAGAAAAATGCATCCCTCCTTTGGGGAGAATCAAGAACCCTAGTGTGAATGAGGGCACCAAGGCCCCTAGTCAAGGCAATAAACTAAGGAGCTCATGTGGCCAGAGGGCTGGAACCAGGGCTCATCCCAGGGGAGATGGGGGTAGGGGAGATACCTCAGCAGCTGCCCCACCTAGTGCAAGGGCTCCTGCCTCAGCCCACCCAGGCTTCTATCCCAACCAGCAGCAAGCCAAGAAGCCACTGTGTGCCTATTCCTCAGCCCCACTCCTTCAGCTTAAACACACCATGTCCCCCAAGCTCTCTCAGGGCCAATGAGAGGTTTCTTGGCAACTCTCCTCAGCCCCAAAGGATTAAGAAGCAAGAACCCTGGGCCCCACCATGCTCAGGAGATGGAAGCTCTTTGGTCAGTCCCAGCAGTCAGAGGCCCTTCCCACAGGTGACTGCTTCTACAAGTCCCCTGGAGAGATCTGCATTGGGCAAGGGCCGTACTATGGCTTGAGAGAGATGGTGCAATCCCTGTACAGCAGCCTGGCTTATTCTGCCACTGCGGCCACCTCTTCTTCCTCACCCTCCTCCTCTGTCTCTGTCTTGATCTGAGCAACCCCAAGGCGGTAGAGGGTGTCTCGAATGACCACCTCGCCAGGCTGGCAGTTCTGCACAATGTCATGGATCTGCCGGTTGACAATGTCACGGCTGGTGAGGAAGTCCATGAGGCGGTTGTAGAGGTAATAGTGGGTGGCATTGTCAAAGGCAATGGGCCGCTGGCGGACATTGTTTGGTTTGCTGTTCACGATGGAGGCCAGGACGTTTGCGTAGGGTGCCAACTCAGGGCACAGGGACAAGGAGTGGTGCCCAGAGCTGGGGTCACCAGGACTGGACTGTGTGCCTGCATGGACGATGCGCCGCGTGGCAGTCTTAGTCACTGGGTGCTGGACGGAGTGCTCAGCCTCTGTCATATCCACAGAATAATGCTGGTCCAAGAGCTCAGGGCAGGACACACTCTGGAAGAGATGAGAAGTCACTTAGTCATGAGGGAATGCAATGACTAAGGGAGAACCTGTGTGGGAGGTGAGAGCAGACTGTGAGGCTGGCCAGTCCTGCTTAAATCCCAGCATCATTGCTCACTCCTCCTGGGCCAGCTCGCTCCCTTCTCCCTCTGTGTCTCCATTTCCTCAGGTGAGATCGGGGATAGGACCCTCCACAACAGATACTGGAATGCTTGAGCTGCTCTTTTCACTGTGCCTACTTAATTCAGGCTGCAGGGAGTTGGAGACACTGGCTCTGAGGGAGACTAAGATACCTTTCTGGAGTCCCCTATACAAATTCTTAGAGCTTAGGAGCCCCAGGGAATGATGACAATGTCAACTCCAATGCAAAGCCAGAGGCTTCCGCCTCTCATAATGCACTCTGGCAGGGACAATCATCTCTCACTATTTTTTCTTCTTCCTGGTATCTCTTAATATGTCTTCCAGCAAAGGCCAAAGGAGGGCCTTGGAAGGTGTGTGCTTCTGGTAAGAACTACTGCCTGGTATGATATACCAAGACACAGAGATAAGCACTCTGCCACTGATCTATTATGTGGTCCTGGTTAAGTCCATTGTCTCCTCCAGGTCTTAATTTCCCCTTTTAAAAGGAGAGGGTCAGGTCAGATTGGTACTGGGGGACTGAACCCAAGGCCTCACTGTGGCTACACCCCAATCCTCCTCTTTTTTTAAATTACAAAGAATAGTGGTTTATTTAGCTCATTATTCTGTAGGCAAAATCACTGTTTTCTAAAACCGCTATGTCTTTATGTCACAAAAGGTGTACCATGGGCCCATACCAGCCTGCACAGGACCCAGGCTCACAGTAGGCCTGGTCCACCCCTCCCCTGGCGGGGCAGACACCCGCTAGAGCCTAGCCTCTGGCGCAGGACCACCCCTTCCCACCAGCAGACTACCACGGGAGGTAAAGCCAGCCACCCAGATCTACCCATGCCAACTTGCGCAGGACCCAGACCCAGGATGCAGTAGCATTCATTGAGGGACACCAGCAGCATCTGGAAGCCCAACATCAAGGTGAGGTACAGACAATCTGCACGGGTACTACTAGAATATAGGGAAGAAACTGTAATATCTCAGATCCACACTGTAAGAAAGGAAGACACTTAGACAACATGAAAAAACAAGGGAGGAAAGTGCCCCAAACAAACCAGGACACTATAATAATAGAACCCATGATGAAAAGGCATACCATGTAGTGTGCTCATGAACAAATCTAAGATACAGAATGAAACAACGTGCCCCAGGGCTGGTCAGTATGCACAATGACTCAAAGATGCCAATTCTCTATCTTATCTGGAAGGCAACTTCTTTTAACACAAGATACCCATGTATGAGATACCTCAGATGCAATACATGACATTCCATGGCCTCACACACAGAGGTTAATAAAATTTAGTGAAATCAATGCTGGTTCCCACGTATGAAGAAAAAACATTTGTGAAGAAAAATGATAAAAGAGATGGCTCCCAGATGGGACCCCCTGAAGAACTGGGGGCTGAGACAAGGTCAGCCTGAAGGATTTTTCTAGTTGCGCGGAATGTGACTCACCACAGGCGGCTCTGTGGGGCTAGAGAAACAGCCCTGGTTCTTCCCCCACATCTGGCTGGTCAGCTCTGGGTAGCAGATGTCAGCACACAGGGCCACTGGTGTGGCCATATCTACCACATAGATAGGTGGCCAGTGTCGGGAAGAGGCAAGCAGATCCACGTGGTCACGAGCACTCTCACCTCGAACAAGATACTTGGAGCCACAGACCACCTGTGGGGAGATGGAGGGCCCAGCCAGGATTAAGGAACCAATTTGCAGGCAACCTGAGAAGGGTCCTCACTCACCTCTTCCCAGGAAGATTTCATGACTAATGACTAAAGTCAGAGTCATTCGGTGGGATCCATGACATTCTGCTCTCCTCCTATTTCCATCCCTGAATGAATTCACCAGCTCATCCTCTCTTGAGAGAAGAATTAGGACATTCTACCCTCCATTTAGGCGGAAAGGTGCTTCAGGACATTTCCTCTAAACCCCATTTCCTCCACATCACCCTATCAAGCATCATCTAGTGGTTCCCAATACTAGCTACACAGCACCCACAGCTGAGAGCTGGTAAAGATGGGAGATTCTTGGGCCCTAGCCCAAACCTAAGAAATTAGAATCTCTTGAGTCTAAAGTATTTGTATTTTGAGCAAGACCTCCCACCCCTAAAACCCAATGTGCCGTGCAGGTAGGACGTCTAGTGGAGCCTAGTGAACACCTCCACACCACCATTCCACTGTGGGACAGCTCTGGGTACATTGGAGAGTTCTGCCTTCACATCCAACCAATTGTTGCTTCCAAGTGATATGCTTCCCCTGACAATCTGCCACAGTCCTTCCGCTGACAGGTGCTTTTCATGAGATGACCCCAGGCTCTGATCTGCTAAGGAGAGGTCGGGAGCGCATCAAGCATCTCCCTCAGATACAGTTTCTATTCAAGTAGCTGAGAACCTTATTCTCTTTTTAGAGCCAGATCATCCTGTTGACCCCAACATCTCAGTGAACTGAGGCTCTGCTGAAACATGCCTCAACCACCATATTCAGTACTTGGCTTTTGGTTTTGGTATCTTCTGGGGCTATATTCAGGTATACAACTTGTCCCAGAGATACCCTGGTGCCTACTTTGTCCACCCTTTTAAAACATAGATATGGAGTCATATCTTCCCCAAACCAAAATCAGACCATGTCACCACTGCCATTTTCCACTCAACACCAGTCAAAAGGTCCCCCTTGACTCAGAATAAAAATCCCAATAGTTACTCTGGCCCCTAAAGCTCTGTGATATCTGGCCTCTAATGGTCCCTTTGCTGTGAAACACTTCTTCCTCTTGCTTGACTCTGGGATTCTTCCCTATCCTTTAAGGTCTCAGCCTTCTCTGGCTATCTAGTAGGTAGAAGGTCTGTTCCGTTGTATCTCTGGCCCATATTTTGTTTCTTCAGAGCTATCATCATAAGCTGTGGTGACTTTACTCCCCCCCCCCCAAATGAGGTCAACTAGAAAGGAATAATATCTTGTTGTTACTCCTCTTCCCTTAATAGGTGACTCAGGGTCCAGCACATCGTAGGGTGCTTAATAAACACACACTGAGGTGACCCAAGCTCCATTACCAGCCCACAGGATGGCACCAGCTACTCCACAGGCTGCAGGGTGACTGAAGTCCCAACCCCCAAAGGATGAGTTGGCTCCAATTCTGTGTGGGCAGCTCACAATTAGTTAGTTCACCCCAAGTTGCTCTTTATTATCTTCTTACCTGATGGGGGCACACTTTATAGATCTTACCCCCAGTGAGATGAGGTGGGGGCTGTCTAGCTCTGGCTCCATTCTGTACAGATTCATAGAGGGCCAATAAGGAGAAGCAGAGTTGGTCCTGGAGAAGGAAGACAAAATAAAAATGCAGGAGTGAATGCTAAAGGACCAGGCCTGGTGCTCAGCACCAAGTGCCTAGTCCATACTAAAAGCAAAAGGATCAACTGCCCGGCCTGAAAGGGCCTTGGAGCCCCACCCAGCCCAACCTCTTCCAGTCAGGCAACAGGAGGCTCAAAAGAATGGGTCACAAACAAAGCCAGCAAGACTGACGGACTCTGGGGCCTAGTTTTTTCTACTTTTTAAAGGTCAGAGAAACCTTCAATGAGGAGCTAACACATGAATCTGAATTTGAAGGAAAAATAACATTTTTAACAGTACAGAAATATGAAGGAAAGTAAATAATGGGTTGATATAACCCATACATACATGTGTATGTAATAGCATCCACTTTCTAAGAGTTTGAAAACCAGACACTATGTAATGTGCATTTCTTACAACAACTTCATGAGGCCGGTATTTTAGTTATTTCAATTTTACAAGTGACAAAAATGACGTTTAAAATATAAGACAACTTATCCAAGGGCACACACAGTAATTAGAGTCAGGATTCTTGATCCCAGAGTCTTACTACTTACTTACTGGTGCTTATTACACCTGCAGCAACAAGAAAAGTAGCAACTGTCATTTTAAAAATGGTATCTCTACACTATGCTGATGAAATTGGCTAATGAAGGATACTGCACAGCGGCCTTACAAAAAATTCCTGGGCCCACAACTTTCAACAGATGGAAACCTACTGGAGGCCAACACCTCACATGAAGTCACCATCTGGCTGCTGCTATCTCCCAGGTTCCCTGACTACCAGCAAGCACCCTTTGCCCAACACAGGTGCCTACTAACAAATGTTCATATCCTTCCTAGAAACACAAACCAACCAGTCTATTCCCAAAGCCTTGAGTCCAACACTGCCCCAGACTCTCACTCTGTTGTCTTCTGCTCCGAAGGGGATGCCACATTGCCCCAGCAGGTGCCGCAGCTCCTCCTCACTGTAGGAGCCAATCTCCTCAATCTTGCAGGTGCCCTCCTGGAGCAACCTCACCAAGGCACTGCCATTGCCTGCAAGAGACAACAGTGCTAATGGGAGACAGTGCCACCAGCAGTCAGAGGTCATGGGCAGTCCCTACCCCCATGCTTGAGGATGAGATCAAGGGGCTAGGCCTGCAGAACAGCAAGCAGTGCAAGCAAGCTCTGCACGGAGTGCTTCCCAGCGTGGTAAAAGTGGGACTCCAGTCAGGTGGATGACTTCCACAGGTATCTTAAGCCTCTCAGAACTGGAACATGCCCTGGAACATCTAAATGAGACACTCAGCATATAGCCATTAAAAAAGAATCCTAAAATGGACCAGCTTTAATCCAAAGCCTTCTGTTTTTTAGAACCAAGAGGACAGATACTTACTACACCTACAGCAATGAGAAGTAGTAGCTGTCTCTTTAAAAATGCTCTCTATATACTATGCTCCAACTGGCTTATCAAGGAAACTGTGCGGTAGTCTTTCAAAAAAACTCCTGGGTCTTGAAGCAGCAACTATTAGATAGAACTTCAATAATTAATGTTTGGAAACAATGTTCGAGAACCAGTAGATCACAGTATCTTAAGGAAATCAACCCAATAGGCCATATCCAGAATTTTAAACATAAAATAAAAAACAAAGCATACTGCACTTGGTAAAGAAAGGTACTGTTTTGTGAAAGTTTTGTTTCAGTTATATATATATATACACATATGCATATATGTGGATATCATTTCATGTCATGATGCAAAACATTTCTGACTATGAGCTGCAGTTAAAGGCTCAAGACCATGAACTTGCCAGAGGTCACAGAGCTGCTAAATGGGATAATAAGGAATCAAACTCACGTTGTCAGAAAATTATGCTCTGTATAGTTAGTCGAGGGCTCTTCAAACCATCTGCAAAAACACCTGAAAAATGAGTTTTGAAGGAAGATTCCATGGCCTACCCTACACTTTCTCAATGAAAATCTTTGAGACTGGAGATTTATCATCAGTATTTTTTTTTGCAAGATTTCCACTACTCAGTGCAGTACACCCTAGAGGGCTGACAGGGAGCTGTGTGTGTTCTATGGCATAGTCTGATAACTCTTCAAAACTCTCAAACATGACTTTAAACTCTAGGGGCTTTTTGTCATGGGCTATCAACCTTTCTAGAAGGAGTCCTCTAGGTGGGCCTGGCTTTTTCTCTACCACTATGCTGTCTTGCCACAGACAATGTCTTGGACTCTGAGTGAGTCATTCATTCCCTGACCCCTGTCAGCCACCAGGTAGCCTTACCAGGTACTGGCTGCACATCCAGGCTTTTGTCTTTCTCAGTGTTGACGACCACAGCTCCTCTCATGAGTGGTGGGAAGAAAGGGGCAATAACAGAGGCATCGAACTTGGTGATAGGGATGCTGGCAGGGAACGCCACCTGCTCAATCACCTCTGTCTCCATCGTGGCCCAGAAGTCCTCCACATTCACCTCACTGGAGGCCAAGAATTCAGGCCAGGTGAACTAAAGGGCCAAGATAAAATAAAAAAGCAAGCTGTAGGAGCCACAGAATTTTAGTAACACAACAGTCTTCTCCCTTTTGTTATGTACACGGGAAAGGATGAAAGATGGGGTCTGACAGCCATATACTGTGGGCCTACTTCTGAATTTGAACTTGACAACTCAGTACCCAACTGCGTTTTCATTCTTCCATGCCATAGTACTCTTCCAGACTGAAACAGTCCCCAAGTCCCTTTGTTTCTATTTTTTTATTCATGTCATTTACAGTCTGCAAGGGAAGGGGGGCTACTGTTTAAGTGCCTGTAATACCAGACATTTTTTAGTTTAGTTAAGTCCTAATAAATGAGTCTGGGGGAATCTATGAGGTGAGATACTAGAGCTAGGGATGAAACAAGAATGTGAATGTATGTTTTATTCTAAAACACAACCCTCAATCCCAATACCTGGATGCAAGAATAATTAGAACACTATTTAGCACCTGCATGTGTGAGGCCATGGGTTCAATCCCCAGCACTGACCATGAAAAGCAAATAAATACCTGGGTCTTAATCTGTATGAACTCTACTCCTTGTTTTGCATTTGAAAAAATTCCCCTAGGTGAGTGGTCTGGACTAGCAGCATGAGCATCACCTGCAAACTCGTTAGAAGTCTTTGCCCTTACTCCAGACTTACTGAATCATAAACCCTGTGGGAGGAGTCCAGCAAGCCCTCCACACTGAAAAGTTTGAGAATCACTGTGCTAAAATCTGGGAGACTGCTCGACAACAAAGGCATCTCCCCCATTTTATTCCTCTTTGTTCACCACTTCACAGGGTGCTTAGTGCAAGCTGTGAGTAAAGGGTAAACTTCTGTACCACCACCATTTCACACCTGCCTAGGAAGGGAGCCAAATGAGCCCACCCTCTCCACAAGCAGCTAGGGACATGAAATACCAACTAAGTATACCAACTGGAATGGCTATTATCATTAGTCCCTGAAGCAGTCTCCTCAGTGACTAACTGCATTGTTAGTTTTCCTTCAATAACTTCCTGTTTTATTTCATAGACTTCATAACATCTCTCCCCTCCAAGTCACACCACTCTTCACACGCAAAAGAAGCAGAATAAAGTCCTGGTTTTCGAGAAAGAAGTAACTGATACCAGAGAAGGGAAGAGACGCTACAAACTGAGAGGGAAGGAATGCTACTCCATGCTGAGATGGAGGAGCCCTGATTGGGACAGGGGAGGTGCCAGGCAGGACTAGGAGACGTGCAGGCTTTGCAAAGAGGAAGGCCTCTATCTATTTTGGAAACAAAAATCCCATGATGGTCAGATGAAATGAGAAACACCAGAGCTCCAAAACCCAGGAGGTACTTGGTGATCCCAGCAGTGCTTAAACAGCACAGGCTCTAGTCAACAGGCCAGATCCAAGTGCACATCTCAGACCCACACTACCAGGCTGAGTGGGCTTGGGCCAATCCCCATGGGCTTCAGTGCCTGTATCTATAAAATTCTCATAGAGTTGTAAGAATTAAGTCATTCAGTAAAGCACTTAGCAAATATTAGACTTAGGCATATTTAATAAAATGCTTAATAATTCTTAGTGGCATTATTATTACTATTACCACTAGAAAGCCAATTTGAATGAGAGGGGAAACAGCCATTTGGTGAGAAAACGCACAAAAGCAATGGTTCACATAAAATTTTTTATCTAGTTCATTTTATCTACAAGGGACACCTAAAAAGCTACAGGAAGGCTGGGGATACAACTCAGTGGTAGAGCACTGCCTGGCATGCCAAAAGCCCTAATTTCCGCCCTAGGTTCCATCCTCGGCATAAACAGACAGACAGATAAATAGATAGGCTTCAGGAGGTATTATGCTTGTTTTGACACACATATCATGTTATGCATACCATCCTTCAATTAGAAATTAGCATTTGATCAGTATATGTGCTTTGTTTTTCTAATTAGGAGGAAAGAGATAGGAAAATGCATGAAATTTCCTAATATGCTTAGCTGGCCTTTACAAAAGATACCAAACTGTTCTGTAGAACTCCTGAATCTTCCCTGGAAGTAAACACATGAGTTGCAGGTCTGGTGCCTAATCTCCTCCCAGTCCTCTAGTTCGCTATGACAGAAGTCAGAGGTAGAAACCTCGAACCTCAGCTCAACTACTAGCATATCCAAGAGGCACTCCATGCCTAACTTCTCCATGTAATTGATTACAGGAAAGCATCATCTATGGGATTTTAAAAAATTCTGTACAAGCTTTTCTTATTATTTTTAATTTGCTAAGACTTTGTCATAAATGGGTGTTGAATCATAATGAAAGCTTTTAAAATACCCAACTACTTATGCATGAGTTTTCTCCTTTAATATGCTAAATAGTGAATTGCATTGATATATTTTCTAATGATAAAACAATCTTGCCTTCTGGTGATAAACTTGGTCATGATGCATTACTCGATACATTATTAGATATGATTGCTATTATTTTATTCAGGACTTTGACATCCGTATTCATGACTACAATCGGTCCCAGTTTCTTCTTTCTTTTTATTAAATTAAATAGTTATACTGTCTTACACAATAAATTGGGGAAACATTATCTACTTTTGCTGTATTCTTCTCCTATGATTGGAGTAATACATTTCTTGGATATTTGTTACAATGAGTCCATAATAACATCCAAATTTGGCGTTAATTTTTTGGGAATATTTTCAGTTTAGAAACACATCAGCTTAGATTGTCCTTTTTCTCCAATATCTTTGACCATTTCACTGTGGAAATCCTTACTTAATGAGACCCTATGTAGGGCCCTGCTTCCAGAAGCCTCTGAACCTCATCCATTCTTACACTCCCTCTACCACTCACTCCGGCCACAACAACCTTGTTGCTCCTCAACTGTGCCCAGCAGAGCACGATTCAGAGCCTGTTCTTGCTGCTCCTCTGTCTGGAATGTTTTTTCCTAAAGCTACATGGTTTCAGATCTCTACTCAAAAGCCATCATCTCAGAGAGATATTCCCAACTATTTAAAACACAACAAAAAAATGCCCTTTTCCACCCTTTCCTTCCCCTTGCTCTGCTTTACTGTGTTCCACAGCACCCATCACTATCTGACAAATATTAGTTTCCTATCCATCTCCCCAAAATCAGAATGTGAGATCCATGAGAAAAGAAACTTTGCATCTTTTACTATTATTTTTCAAGGGTCTAAACAGTATATCTAAGGGTTGGGGTTGTAGCTCAATGGTAGAATGTGTACTTAGCATGCATGAGGCCCTGGGTCCAATCCCCAGCACCAAAAAATAAATAACTAAAAGGTTTAAAAAAGGGCCTCTAGTTACATGTATACATGAGTTAACAAATGCCTGTTTCCTTCTGGCTTTCCTCAGATGAAACCCTGGGCTGTGCAATGAAAAAAAGACACTGGCTTCCCCTACACAGGACTGGGGCCATCTATCCCTGGGGACATCATGCTGGAAGGTGGCTGCCAAAGTGGGAGGACAGTTCTGAGGGTCACCCATGGTGACTGAGAGACACTTACCTCCACACTCTTCAGGGCCAGCACATTCTCTTCACTCCTCTGAGCCATTTCCACTTTGGGGGCCACGCCACAGATACCACAGATCATATCATTGTAGTCTCGCACAGTGAGGCACTCGAAAGCCCAATAACCATTGCACAGCAACTCCTGCAGCTGGCTCATCTCCTCTGAGGTCAGAGTCTTCTCTGGAAGGACAGCAAGAACACTCAGAAGTTCAAAGACCTGAAGGCACTAGAGATTAGCAGTACCCAGCAAGAACAGACACCTATAACACTGATTCTCCCCTAGAAACACCCAAGCATACTAATGATTTAGAAGGTAGACACTTGGCCTTCCAGTGCTCAGAGGCAACCTAAGGGACTATTCCAATTGAAATGGCAGTTGCCTTGTATGAGGTATCTCCTAGGTACGAGATGCTGTTCTGAAGGCCTAGAAAATGATACCTATTTTAATTCTCACATGAGTTTAATTCTCTATAAATCAGGAGCTACTATTATCCTCATTTAATCACAGAAGAAACAGAAGCACAGAATAACTTGTGCAAAACTCATACTGCCACTAAGTAGCAGAGATAAGTCTCAAACACAGGTCTGTGTGGCGCTAGCACCTTGCTCCACTCCATCATAGCAGGAAAAAGTATAGAAGGACTGGAGCCTGTGGGAATGGGATGAGGAAAGCACAAACAGAAGCAGAATAGCAAAGGGGCCAAGCCTCTAGATAGTATGAGGATGATCCTCACCCTCAGGTCTCAGCACAAGGTTGGGACTATTCGCAGACATCCAGGAGCTGTGTGTCCACAATGAGTATGACATGCTGTGAGGCCACACTACTTATGACCAAAGGATATGATTCTAAAAGTCAACTGTGATCCCTTGCTGAAGATTCCTGGGTGCATGGAGAGACTCATGCTCTCCAAAGTTAGTCTGGCATTTATAAAACTCAAAAGGAAGAGTATATTAGGAAGTCAAGAATATCTCCTTTTCAAAATACCAGACTCTTCTGGGACATAACTCTTTCAACCAAGGCCTATCACTGAAAATTTTCTGGATGCTTAGGATAACCTTGGAAAAGGGAAGAAGATGACCTTACCTGTCTGTTCCTGCACTGACTTCAGCACAACACTGACAGACACTCTGGGGTCCTCTCCCAGCTTGATCTGGTTTCGGATTGCAAAAAGTAAATCCAAGCTTACTAGCAGCTTGTTTCCCACATTAAAGAGACCTGCAGGTAAAAAGGCAACAAGGAGTTGACTGTAACATCATACATAATGGAAACTAGCCAAATGCCCATCAATAGAAGAATACTTATGATACATTCAAAAAATAGGAAACTATGCATCTTTAAAACAAAGGAAACCTAACTGCTCTAACAAGAAGTTGCCTACAATGTACTATTAAATAAAAAAAGTAATGAAATAATACGTATAGTATATTTGTATTTTTTCCAATTAAAAAAAAAAAAAAAAAAAAAGAAAGAAACATTTCCCTACCCCCCAGCTCAGTCCTCAGGACCGAAGGAATCACTCTTCCTCTATACCTCACACAAGTGCACCATGGGGAAGAGTCAGGAGCATCCTTTAGCCCAGGGGTATGTAGGGGATATATCAAAGGCTATAAAATCACCCCTACACCAAATCCTGGAATAAAACAACCAGAGGAATTTAAACGCAGTCAATTTAAGACAAATAAAGGAAGGTGACTTTACATTTGTATGAAATATAATAACAAATTTGGACAAAAGCAAATTCTGACATATATGTTCCCAGTGAAAAAGGGTATAGAGGAGAGGGAAAGGACTTTCTAAGTATGATAGCAAAGGCTGAAACAATAAGATCAAAGTTCTAGTTACCCAAAAATCAAAACTAAAAGTAAAAGAAACCCCTGGTGTCCCCAAAATCACAATACACAAAATAAACAAAACAAAGCTGGGCATGGTGGTGCACACCTATAATCCCAGTGAATGAGAGGCTGAGGCAGGAGGATTGCAAGTTCAAGGCCAGCCTCAGCAACTTAGCAAGGCCCTAATCAACTTAGTGGAGACCCTGTCTCAAAAGAAAACAAATGGCTGGGGGTGTGGCTCAATGCAAAGTACGGAAAAAAAAAAAAAAAAGAAAGAAAAGAAAAACAAAGCCCAAAGAAGAATGGAAACATTCACAAAAGAAATTTACAACATAGGAAGAAACCCACAAAGGGCATAAAAAACACATATACTCTTCCTAGTAACCAAAGAAACACATTAACAAATGATATACCAGTTCTTAACTATGAAACTGACAAACTTTAAAACATTCCAATGCTGATCTATAAAAAGCTCCTAATAAATGAGTTTATCCAGGTCACAGGATACAAAGTCAACAAAATTCAACCCTATCTCTATACTAGCAATGAATAGTTAAAAACAGAACCATGTCCTTTACTTTAAGAAAAAGACAGACTCAGGCATAAATTTAACAAAATACACATAGGACCTATGTGCTGAAAACTATAAAAACTGATGGAATTTTAAAAGATGAAAACTGTTAACAGTTAAAAACAAAAACTTAATAAAATGGAGAAAAAAACCATGTTTGTGAGCTGGAAGATCTAATATTTTAAAGCACATCATATTTTCCATCTATAAATTCAACACAATCTCAATTAAAATTCTAGTGGGATTTTGCAGCTATTCACAACTCTAAAATTTATATTTTACACCAAAGAAGTAAATTAACCAAAACAATTCTGTAAAAAAAGATTGGAGGGCTCATTCTACTTGATCCTAAGATTCACCATACAGCTATAATAGTCAACACTGTGGTACTAGCCAAAGGAGAGACATATAGAGTCACATATGTGGTCAGCTAATTTTTAATAAAAGAGCAAAAACAAGTCAATGGAGAAAAGACTGTATTTTCAACACATGGTGATATAACTGGACATACATATACAAACATTGAATTCAATTTGGACCTCACATTTTATATAAAAATTAGAAATGGATCATAGATCTAAATGTGAACAGAATTATAAAACTTTTACAAAAACCTGTGTCCAGAATATACAAAGAATTCTCAAAAACTCAACATTAATACAGCAGACCAAAGATGTTAACACAGATCTTTTACCAAAGACTACATATATACATACATACATTATTAGTAACTGGGGAAATAAATATTAAAATAGCAATGAGGTATCACTATACACACCAATAGTAGTGTGGCTATAAAATAACAACAAAGACACTACCAAATGCTAGCATGCAAAGCTAAATGCAACTCTCACATGGTGTCAGAGAGAATACAAAATGGTACAGCCACTTTTCATAAATGGTTTGGTAGTTTCTTGTAAAATTGAACATAAACTTACCATGACACAGCAATCTGACTCCTAGGTATTTACTCAAGAGAAATGAGAACGTAATAAGCCTGCAAATGAATGTTTGTAGCAGCTCTACTAACCCAAACATCCTAGGTACTATGGCATATTCACAAATTACTCAACAGTTAAATAGATCAAACCTGTGATGCACACATATGGACAAATCTCACAGGATTATGCTTATTCAAAGATGCCACATTCAAAAGGCTACATACTATTGCTACGTTTATATGACATTCTGGCCAACACTACAGGGATGAAAAAGATCAATCAGCTGCCAAAGGTTAGCAGGCTGTGGGTGGGTTTGGCAATAAAAGAACAAAATATGTTTGGGAGTGACAGACCTGTTCTATATGTTGACAGGTGGCAGGTACACAACTCTGCATATATCAGAACTCTCAGAACTGTACAACAACAAAGCAAATTTTACTACATGTAAATCTGAAAAAGAATTTTAATTTAAAAATATATAATCCTAAGTATTGGACTATACAGAAATAGGTACTCTATTATAATAGTGTACAAGGAAATGAGTACTCTCATTAACTGCTGGCAAGAGAATAAAATAATACAAACTCAAACTGGCAGTACAAGACTAATTAAAAACATGAATTCAAAATAAGGGAACATAAGGTTCTTAAGACCAAGAGAAGAAATAAGTATTTTGAATGGTTAGTAGTACTCAATTTCACATATAAAACTCAGGATTCAACCAGACTCTCAACAATGGTTAGTAGATGACAAGTGTTCAATAATCCATGGCACTGATGAATAATGGGAAGCAAGGGCATAAACATGCAGCAATTCTACTTGTGAGAATTTGTCCAGAGAAATAATTAAGCATCTACACAAATATCTAATTATAAGCAAGACTGTAAAATGGAGCTCCACACGCCTCTTGAAAAAACTTTCATGTAGGTCTGGGGATATAGCTCAGTGATAGTCTTGACTAGCATGTTCAAGGCCCTAGGTTTGATCCCTAGCACCTCAAACACCAAAACAAAAAAAGGACATTTCTCTATTTGCTGGCACATGATATATGGATAAATTTAAAAAGCATGTTTTCAAAAAAAGGCTACCATAGTACCCTTTTGTTCAAAGAAAAACTTAAAAACCTTTCCATAATTTCTTATATCTTATATTTTGCATAGATGAAGGGACATATCTGGTCGGCTAGAGAATACAAGTGCTCATCTCATGGCAATAAGATCACTATTAATTTTCAGGTTCTTCTTATTATTTGTGTACATTTTCCAGCTTTTTCACAATGAAAATCTTTTTTTTTTTGGTAATAGCAGGAATTGAACCCAGCACTTCACACATGATAGGCAAATCCTCTACCACTGAGCTACATTCTGGCCCTTTAAAATTTTTATCTTGAAACAGGGTCTCACTAAGTTGCCCAGGCTGTCCTCAAACTTGCCATCTTCCTACCTCAGTCTCCCAAGTAGATGGAATTATAGGCACTACCATCATGCCTGGCTAAGATCTATTTTTTCTGATTTATTATTATTATCATGTATTCATTGTACACAATAATAGGTTTCTGTGTGACATTCACATATATGCATGTAATGTACTTTGATGTATCCACCCTCAAAATCCATAATTTTTAAGCTAACTTTGTTTACTCTTTACAACAGAGCCCTAACATTTGAGAGGTAAAGGTCATCTTCTGGAGATGAGCCAGTCAGAAGGAAGACCCCTCTTCCTCAGAAGCCCCATTGAGTAGATTCAGGGCACACAGGACCAGAGCTTTGACCCAGACAGCAGTTCTTAAGCCTGCTTTGGAAATGCCTGAGGAGAATAAAAGGTTGGTACTCACCTGTGTAGATGTCCATGAAGCTGTGCAGAGCCAGACAATGAGGGTTCAGACACATCTTCACCTGGGCGGTCACCATCTGCAGTCGGCTAGCTGTCAGCAGCCAGCACTCTTGGGGCCCAGCCAGGGAACTGGTACAAAACATCATCAACAAAAAACAGGGAAATTAATCTCTTCATGCAGGTCTTGGGCATAAGAATGACTTGTCAGTGACCAGTGGCAAAATTCTCAACACTTAAATTCAATGGGCAAAGAAAGGTGCTGGAGTTTGGGATCTAATTTTTTCTAGGTGGATGTTTCTATCTGTTGAACTTCCAAACCCACATATTATGCTGGGTAGTCCAGATGTAATCTAAATCCTAAAGTGATCATAATAATAGAAATAACAATTACTAATTACATTCAGCAATTGGAAAGATTTGGAAGTCTAAGGAAAGCAGAGAATAACATCTTTAAAGATTACAGCTTTAAAGCTGTCTGAAGAGAGGGGAAATATGTCAAGTGCATTGGGAGCTAGGGGCAGAGTAAAAGGGTACTTACTTCTGTTCCCCTTTGAATAACGGGCTGCTACAGAGAAGGCACTGCGTGGATGGAGACTCATAATAATTTGACCAAGAGGTCTGCTCAATGGTGACTGTCTCCTCACTCACGTTGGACAAGATAAGTCGAGAGCTATTGAGTTCATGAATCAAGGCAAAGACCTCAGCCAGCTCTGACTCATTCTCAGGAATCTGCAGGACTTTTCGCAGTAGCTGCAGTGTGGACTGGCGCTGGATCTCCCTCTGGGCTGCACTCAGGGGCTCTGTGGCACTCAGCCCATCTGAAAGTGATGAACTTGCCTCCTGGGAACAGAATGAAATAATTATCAGGGAAAAATGAGCTAGGTTCCAGCTAAAACCATGAAAGCTGGCAGGCAGAAGAGGGCTGGGCCCATGACTGAGAGGTGTTAAACCTAGCTACATTCCTGAAAAGCTCAGCAAATAACTCATTGTTTGGCTAAAGGCAGTCTGTCTGTCTGTCTGTCTCTCTCTTTGGGACTATTTTTCTATCAGGAAAATGAGATTATACACATCTTTTGATAATGGATTTAATTGTAAGCTCCCATTCATCAGGAGGATAGCAGATAGACCTGTAGTTTAGTTCTGGTGATAACACTTAAGGGCTGTACATGTAGAAGGCAATTTATGAGCCTCAATTTCCTCATCTGTGAAATGATGGATGAAAAATACTAGAAATCCAGAGTTATTGCATGGATTAAGTGAGATAAAACAAGTAAACAATTTAGCATGGTGCCTATGATACAATGAAGACTATGGTAGTTCTAATACTCAAGAGTTTGTTTTAAGTATTTCTTTAATTCTTTGTGGCTTCTGGGTATAAGGGAATTTTACACACTATACAGAGGCTTCTAGGAACAAGGTTCTGAATTACTCATGAGAAACAGATCCTTCTCAGGTGGATCGCTTTTGAATAGAGGCTCCTCCCTGATCCTTTTTGCCAATACAACCTGAATCACTGACTCCTTTGTGCTCCCCATGAGCATCTTTCTACTAGAGGATTCAGCCTCTCATAGTTGCTAAATCAACACTCCCCCATACCCCACCCTTTTGTAAGTTAAGTTCCCAGCTAACTTACAAAGCCTAAGGCATACAAACTGCCAGACACATCTTACATGGCTTTATAATGTTAATTGCTTAATAAGGAGTTTAATTAACTCTGCATCCCTACAACAACTTTTATCTGTAACAATTTGATTACAGATCTTTCTTTATGCTACATTCTAAATTCCTSAGGAGAAGCCATCCAATTGACCTCTGAAGGCCTGGCCCATGGCAGGCAAGATAGTTGAAAGGAAGAAAGAAGTAATGGCTTCAGAAGAGCTGAGTGACAAGCTGGGAGATAGTGTATGTTCCCAAACATGACCTGTTGAACCATGAACTGGAAGACTACATGAAAGGAATACTATCCTTTGACTCCAATCTAGTAATGAAGGATAAAGAACTGAAGGCTAGAAGCTGGGGTTGAGGCTCAGGAGTAGAGCGCTCGTCTAGCACATGCAAGGCAATGGGTTTGATCCTTAGCACCACATAAAAATAAATAAGTAAATGTCTTACAACAACAACAACAAAAACATTATAAAAAAGAAAAAGAACTGAAGTCTATTCCAGCCCAGAGATGTCTTAATTACAGTAGCTGAAGGCAAACTGCATGGATATATATGGCCACCAGGTGGCTCCAAAGGGCAACAGACACAAAGGCCCTGGTTTCTGACCTCAGTTTTACTTTTTAGGAAACAATAATTACATTTCATCTCTCCAAACTTCAGGAGATTGAAGAATGAAGGAAAATATGATGTTGAGGGAAAGTCTGAAGATGAGGGTCCTGAGCATGGGCAGCTACCACTTAATTGAGGTCCTTAAACAGTTCCTGCTTGGCCTGAAAAGTTAAATTATTTCACCATCCTAGACCTACAGAGCAACATCCATTTCTATACTGCAAATCACATAAAGAGCCAAAAGGAAATAAATGGAAAGAGAAAGGAATGCTCAAAACACCTACCTACACAGAACTCAATTCCATCCCCAAATTTACAGAGCTACACATGTGTATATGAGCTCTAGAGTCAGAGGTGGGGGAAACAGATACACTACCTAGAAGGGATTATGGTCTCCAGTTAAGAAAAGTTGATACAGGATGTGATTAACACTATGGGAAGAACACATAGAATTCATGGAAAATCCAGGAAGAAAGCTCACCTCCAGCAGAGGGCACTTCAGTGGACCAAGAAAAACTGGTGAAGGCTATAGACCAATTTTGCACACAAGTGCAGGGGTTTACAGACCCCTTGAAGCTCTATTTGGGGTCTTTCCTAGGGCTCCTGGCTTGGAGTAAAATGCCCAGCTCACTTGCTTTGTTTTACCGAATGGAAAACAAAAGCTCAGGAGAGTGAAGCTTCCAACCCGGAGTCACTCCCAGCCAGGTCTCTCCATTCCTAGTCCCAGTACTTTTCCCATGGAGCCACTACTACCTATGTACTTTAGTTTCACTTCCCCTCATCACAAGGTCAGTGACCTCAAATTACTTCCTCAAGGCCAGAAACAGACTGGAAAGGTGGTGGTGGTGGTGTGTTCATCACCAGAAAGGCCACATGCAGAAACTTTCAGCTTGAAGTAGTTCTCCCCATCTCTAGTCCTGTCTATTCCCAAACTCCCATAAGCCTCTCTCCTGAAACAACCTTCCTCTTAGCCTCTCCATGGCTCATGGACCTTCAGTGGGACCCACTGCCTAAAGAACAGACTCTCTAGCCTGGCATTCAAAACCTTTCATGATGCGGTCCCAATATGTTTTTAGGTCTTGTTTTCCTTACTTTCCACGCCAAACTTACCACACACTCTTTACTTTTGCTCATGCCCATCCTAGAATATGCCTTCCCCTTCTATCCAAATCCTGCTTTTATCTTTTGAGGTTCAGTTTATACGCTGAATGGCCAGACTCCACCCTAGACCTTGTGCCCTCCCTTCCCAACTCCCAGCAAGGCAGATCTGCTTACCCTCATCTTATTCCCCTCAGATTCTCTCTCTCTCTTTTTTTTCCACTTTAAAAAATGCCCGTAAGGGAAAGGTGAAAAGAGGAAGAGAGAAACAGATGATGAAGGAAAAGATGATTAAGACCCCAGATAAACTGCGAAAACAGAACTGTTCAGCATTGGTTGGACTGCTCATGGATTTGATAGCTGTTTAAAAAAAAAAAAAAAAAGGTAGCTCTGATACAAACCCCAGGATGCCCACCCACCCAATAAGCCAAAGAATAATTCCTATGATATTCCGCCTTCCTTCTTTTAGTCCCTCTTGTTAATCCACCACCAAGCTTGGGGACTTTGCCCCAGAAAATTGTAAGCATTGTTAGGTTTTTTTGTGTAAAACTCTTGCTGTAACATGGAGAGCTGTGACTGGTGAGTCAACTGTCCGTGGCTACCAGTTACACCAAGATTGTAAAAGCATTTTTACTTTCTGTACAACAAAAAAGCTTTGTTAAAAAAAAAAAAAAAAATGTCCGTAAGGAGGGGCTGGGGTTGGGGCTGTAGCTCAGTGGCAAAGCACTTGCCTAGCATCTGTGAGGCACTGGGTTTGATCCTCAGCACCACATAATAATAAATAAACTAAATAAAGGCATTCTGTCCACCCACAACCAGAATTTTCTTAAAGGCACTTGTAGAAATTCTAAGGACCTTTGAAAATGCCTATTTTTCCTGGTTCTAACAATTTTAAAAAATAGCCCTAAGGAGCCAAGTGGAATGCATGTTACTATTCAAGTACTCTGGTCCAGCTTCAGCAAACAGGTTTGTTAAGACTGCTATAACAAGAGCTTTGTGACTAGCAAAATGCTTTCCAAGGAACCTGGTGAGAAATGACAATTTAACTGACAAAAGTCTTAAGGTTGGAATTTACTGTTTACTGAAAGAATGAATCAACTGACAGGTCATGTACCAGGCCTCAGAGCTAAGAGGACGCAGCCCTTTCCTATTTAAGGTCTGTGCTTCCATTCTTTTCAGTGGATGAACACTTGGTTCTCAGATATCAATGTACGGTTTGAATGCATCTCCCAAACTTTGGTGGTTGAAACTTAAATCCTCAAGACTTTCTTTTTTTTCCCCCATTTATTATGGAATTTGAGACGAGACCTTTGGGAGGTGACTGGGTCATGAGGGCTCTGCCCTCATGAATAATTAATCCAGGAGTAGACTTATGGATTAAAGAGTTACTACAAAAGTGGCTTTGTTATAAAGTGAGCTCTCTGGCTCTTGCCTCTATGACCCAGATGCTGACACCACGCTCTTATACTTCCCAGCCTCCAGAACTGTGAACTAAATAAAACTCTGTTCTTTACAAATTATTTGGTCTCAAGTAGTTTGTTGGACAACAGAAAACAGACTATAACACTGGGCAATTCCTTCACCTCAGCAACAAAGACAAGGTCCAGGAGGAAAGCATTTGCTGAGGTATAGAACTTACAACCTAGGTCTAGTTCTGATGCTCTAGCTACTATTCAATGTACTTTTATTTCTATTAAAGCAGGTTTACTAACAGAGCCCATCATAAGGCTAAGGGACTTATCTGAGAATAGAACTCACAATGGCCTTGGTAGTTTTCTCAGTCCGGTCTTTGGTAAGGTTAAAACCACAGCTGGGACAAATCCTAGGTTTGTGCCGGTTGGTGTAGACATAGCTACAAGAGGGATTCTTGCACTTTCCCCGGCCTCTTGATGTAGCCAGGCCCAAATCCTAAAAAAAGTAAGATCAACATTTAATTCTACTAATGTTAGGTTGAACCTGGGCAGAGCCTCAAACCAGGATGACTAGCTGTAAGTCAGAGAAGAAAATGGCAATTACAAACCAGATTTAGCTTAGTTTCCAAAAAGTCCTGAAGCAAGATGCTTTTCAATTTTAACAGTCTATATAATTTAATCCTTCACTATCTATGAAATTAGTGAGTAGAATTTCAAGGTTAAGAAACCTAAATACCTCAGGGTCCATGCAGTGGCAGAGTAAGCAATCTACTTGAATGAGGAGTGCTACTCTATGGCAAATCTAAGATTTCAAGCCCTCCTATGAACAAACTGTGACTTCTGGATTCAAAGCTATGAAAAACTTGACAGCTTTAGCATCTGGGCTCCTATGACCATACTGTCTAATCAACCCAAGAAGAGAACTGGGTAGATGGTAAACCTACTAGCTTCCTGTTGCCAAAACAAATGAGGATATGGAAGGTATAGGAAAGGCAGTAATTAGGTCATTAGAAAAAGAAATCATAAGCAGATCTCCATGATAAGAGACAATCTTCTTAGAGATAAGACCAGAGCAGGCATTAATCCTCTACACTGTGATATCTTGTTCTCTACTAAATACTCAATATAGAGCTAGGCACAAAAATGCTATATATATATATATATATATATATATATATACATACATACATACATATACAGAGCTGGCCTGGAACTCCTGGACTCAAGCAATCCTTCTGCTTCAGCCTCCCAAGTAGCTGGGACTACAAGCATGCCCCATCACACCTGGGTAAGCTCACTAGTAGAGCGCTTACCTAGCATGCATGAGGCACTGGGACCTGGCACCACATCAAAATAATAAAACAAATAAAATAAAGGTATTGTGTCCATCTATAACTAAAGACATATTTTTTAAAAAATACTTTCGAATAAAAAAAAAGACACTTTCAAAACCTGTCATTATAAAGTGGGATTTTTTTTTTCTCTCAAAATCTGTTTAACTTACTTAAATCAGCCAGAAAGACTGCCATAAACAATCTGACTGGTTGTAACCTTAAGGACCAACAGAACTACAGAATATTGAGTGATAGGAGCCTCAAAGATACCTAAACTAATGCAGCATTTTATAGTTGGCAAAACTGAGGACAAGATACAGAGTCTCATCTAGGACCGTATGGCATGCCAGGAACACAGCCAGAACTACTTTTGAACTCAGTCTTCCAACTGTCTACAGTGTTTGTTCCACTGTTCCATGCTGCTTACCTTGCAAAAGTCATACATTCATTTATCAAGATGTTAATATGTGTTAGGGTAAAAATAAAAGGAAAAAGGGGAAGGGAAACTCATTGGAAATGCTAGGCTAAATAAAACAAGTTGTTTTACTAAATTCCTTCTCAAACCCTTTAAGATACTAGTGTTGAATGTCTGTTTTAGGGAGAAAAATCCTTAAAACTTATTTGTGAATCACACTTTCTAGGCCAAAAAGTTCAAAGACTGCTGAATGCTAAATCTGGACTACATTCTCATCTCTGACATAAATATCAACATAATCTCTCAACATAAATATCCTGATCTTGGCTGGCCTATGCATTATAGACATCAGGAAAAAACCCTAGACCGCCTAGCACACTCACCCAGAAGTGATCATCTGTATGGGTGACAGGATCTTTGACATTAACAACTTTTATTTGACCCTGCTCTCACTCTAAGCTACCACCACCTTCTTCCCCAGCTTCATATGCTTCCTAAAGTATCAAAGCAATACCACCATGTGGCTTACCAGTGTGACAGTGCAGCTGTACTTATACGGAGGAAACATGTCAGGCTTGACCTCTACAACTTTCACCTGAGAAGTCCTGTTGTTCGGGCCACCTGGTATCTGTGGATCAGAATAAGTTATTTAGTGCTACTTTTAAACCTCAAACTCCTGAGGTCTGTGTCCTCAAACAACTTAAGGAAATGGCTTCCTGGGGAATTTGTTGAGCTCTCCTCCAAATAAGTCCTCTAGACTGCCAACCAGCAGTCACCAGCCCACCAAAGGCTAAGTGGCATGTCCAGGGGTTGCCAGACTTCTCCATATAGCTTCTAACACTGTGTACCAAGAACACCATGAATCAGACTGATAATTATCACATGATAAAAACATAATAACTCTATACACAAATATATAATTGACAAATGTTAGTATAGAAGGAGTGTGGAAGACTTGTCACTAAATGTCACAGGGTAAGAGGAAGATCATGGTTGTTTTCCTCCTTTACTATTACCTATAAAATTTTCAAAGGCTCTTTAAGTATTTATATAAATAAAAACAAAGGCATTCTAAATTAATTATTCTATAAGGTGAATTTAAGTTGAATTTTAGAATATATAATTTCATGTACCTGTTAAATGACTTAAGACTAGCAAAACAGCTTGTAGCTTTTTAACAAACACCCAGAGTTGCTGGTCAAAAGGAAACTACAGAGAAGACTGTGTGTTTATTCAAGTGACAGAGTGTACATGAAGGGATTCTAGGGGCTGGAAGTTGACTAATACCTTCCATCTGTACCACCAGATCATACACTGTTAAAATCTGGATCTGGAATGTTCCCCAAAGCTTCATTTGCTGATGGCTTGTACACCAATGCAAAATGTTCTGCCTTACCACAGCCCCAAAACAAAAACCCCAAGTGACTATGGACTGAAACCTCTAAAATCTTTCCTCTTTTGATTTTCTCAGGTATTTTATCTAAGCAATGAAAAGCAAACTAATATATACATACACTCAGAGCTGCCACCACATCTGGGTGAGAAACAGAACAACCCTCCAAGTAAAAGCTAGTTGCTATTTGTCAAGGCAAATTTAGAATGTCAAACAAAGAAAGTCAACCTACAAAGACCATATAGCAGCTGGGCACAGTGGTGCACACCTGTAATCCCAGCAACTAGGAGGCTGAGGCGGGAGAATTACACATTTGAGGCCAGCCTTAACCAACTTAGTGAGGCATTCATCAACTTTGCAAGACCCTATCTCAAAATAAAAAATAAAAAGGGTGGGGATAAAGCTCAGTGGTAAAGCACCCTTGTTCAATCCCAAGTATCAGAAAAAAAAAAAAAAAAAGGAAGCACATAGCAAGGGAGATGGCAGATTGATTCTCCTATTCTAACCTGGTCCATGACCACTCAAAAACCACAGGCTACAATCCACCCCAAGAGGTCATGAAATAAATTTAAAGGGTAAACCCATTTTACCAACAGGAATAGGAAACACCAAAGTGATGGCACATAACAAGGGAACTGTTTCATTAAAATACTTAATGTGTCTATTTACTGGGCTATACTGTAAAAATTTGTTTATTACTGGGCGGCTGGGTTTATCACTGTGCCTCCATAGTAGATTTCTTGGCTAGCATGTAGGAGGCCCTGCTTCAATCCTAAGCAAAAAACAAAAGAGAAAAACACAAAAAGATGTGTCACTGAAGTCACAGTATAGTCTTAAAAATGCTGACTTAGAGAATTTTTGAGAATAACTATGCTAACCATATTTACATAAAAAAATTAAAAAATAAATTTTAAAAATCTAAGAATATGCTTGGATACATGGAATTTTGATACCTAGGAAAATCTTTAATAGCAATTATTACTAAATAGAATGAAAGATATGATACAAACTAGTACATGGAATAAGAGTCATGTTTTAGGTTTTAAATTATATTAAAAAATAAATACAAATTCAGGAAAAGACCTGAAAACTGAAATAGCAGGTTAATTCTACATGGCAGATCATAAAGGATTTATTTTCTTCTTTCTTTACCTGAACTTTCTGTATCTTCTATAATAACCATGCATTCATATAAACAAAAACAAAGGAATTCTAAATTAATTATTCTATAAGGTGAATTTAAGTTGAATTTTAGAATATACAATTTCATGTACCTGTTAAATGACTTAAGACTAGCAAAACAGCTTGTGGCTTTTTAAAGGGGGTGGGGAGACTAAGCAGATTATTAAAACTAAATGCAATGTCTAATCCTAGACTGGATCCTATACTGAAGGGGGAAATGTTTATGTAACTTGTAAAACTGACAAAACTAGAACATCAATATGAAATTAATGTGCATCAAGCTAGGCTTGGTGGTGCATGCCTGCAATCCTAGCAACTGAGGAAGCTAAAGGAGGAGGACTGCAAATTTGAGGACAGCCTCAGCACTTAACAAGCAATTTAGTGAGACCGTCTCAAAATAAAAAGGATTGGGGATAGGGTTCAATCCCCACTATCAAAATACATGAGTTAATTTATTTAAATGGTGCATCAATGTTTCAGTAAAAGACTATCCCTATTTTCTGGAAATACACAAAGTATTAAGGAGTAAAAAGCCATATAACTTACTCTTAAATTATGAATATCTTATATATACACATGTATGTGTACACACATAGGGGAGGGTTGTGCAGAAACATTAATGATAAAGTAAAATGGGCTAATACACTAAAAAGTGACTTAATAAAAAGTATATGGATGGTCTCTGTACTTTTTGGGGGGCGGCAATTTTCCCCTAAATTGTAGATTATTTCTAAATTGAAGATTTAAAAACATACATTCTTTTATAAAAAGACATGACTTAAATCATTCACATTAACCTCCTCCCAGAGACCTATCAGTTTAAGAACTGCCTTTTGCCTAGGGGATTTGATAAATTATATAGAAGCAGCCATGGCTCCAAACTCCCTTTTTGGGGGATAGGTCTTACCTTTACTTCACCGGTGCTAGATGGCTGCTGGATGGGCTGGCCCAGCTGCTTCAGTGTGCTTGGCTTCAGGCCACAAGTCCTCACAGAAGGAGTCTTATCTGAGAAATCCAGGAGTCAAACTGGAGACTTATATGCATTCAGTTTCCCAAGTCTCTTATCTCCACTCTCCACCCCACTTCTGCTCCCCTCCCATCAGACAGCCCCTCCTCCAAGGTCTGTCTCAGCTCTTACCACTCAGGGGAAAGGCCTGCCTGGCCCTGGGCAGTCCTATGCTGCTGCCTCGCCCTATATTAGCTGGGGCTGGCAGAATTGCTCTCATGGGTCTGGCTGCAGCCAGTAATGAGGGCTTTCCCCGTGCTCTGCCTTTAAGCTCTGGGGCTCTGGGTCCAGTGGTGAGCAGGTCAAATCTAGGGGAAAAAAAAGAAACAAGAAGGGAATCACCTAGAAATTCTGGACCAAGGGGAAGAAAACCAAAATGGTATTTCCAAACAGCATTTTATTAGAAGATAGTTCAGAAGTTAAACTATAAGATCAGATAGACTGAGTTCAGATTCAATCATTATGTATCTGGGCTCTGGGCAAGTGATTTCACTCTTCTGTTAATCTCAAATTTCTAATATGAAGAATGGGGTAGTAATTACTTATATATTTATGGGATCATTACAAAGATTCGAAAGTATACAACAATATCAACAGTGTATACTACCAATAGGTATTATAGTTATGATATTTCACTGCCTCTAATTAAAGCAAGTGCTTAAAGGGTTTGAGCCTCCCACATAAAGGCAGCTTAGAGGCTGGAGAACCAACTATGTTTTCTTCATCTTAGAAGCACCAATACTAAGCACTTGTATCATAGAAGACCTCCTCAGTTGCTAACGTGATTAACATGCCACAAACAAAAGTTGACCTAAAGATCACAACTTCATTCTTAAAGGATATTAAACTATCTCCAAAGTATACCAATTAAAAAAAAAAAAAAAGCAAGACATAGAAGAATGCTATGCTACCATTTGTGTTAAAGAACACACATAGGAAAACAAACACACATATATATACATATTTGTATATGCTTAAAACTATTTCTAGAAGCATCAGATGTAGATGGACACAATACATTTTTTGTTGGAAAAACTGTCTATAAAAAATGAATGACTAAATAATGGGATAGGAGTGAGTTTTTTTAATGTGTATTCCTTGTACTTTTTGAGTTTTGATAGCATGAATATTTTCTATTCAAAAATAAATATTAAAAATCATTAATATAAACCAGAATTTCAAACTTGGTATTATTAACATTTTGAGACAGATATATTCTTTGTTTTGGAAGGCTATTCTACACATTGGAGGATGTTTAGCATCCCTCTAGATGCTAGCAGAAAAACCCCTTCCCAGTTGTGGCAACTAAAAATATCTTTAAACATTGCCAAAATGTCCCTGGGGGCAAAGCTGATCCCACTTTAGAGCCACTGATATAAACAAACAAAAATCTTCAGTTGTAAGAACACAACAGCCTGCTACAAGGGCAACACTGAGAATCCAGTTAAGCCTTTAATAAAGAAGAAACAAGTAAAAAAAGGCCCAAACTTACTGACATCCGCCTCTTTGTAAGGTGCTGAGTTGCATGTTTTACACAGTCACACAGTTGTAGATAAACACAATACCTTTTTTGTTTATTTGTTTTGGCTATCAGGGATTGAATGCAGGGGCGTTTAACCACTAAGCCACATCCTCAGTTCTTTTTAAACATTTTATTTAGAGTCAGAGTCTTGCTGAATTGTTAGGAGCCTAAGTTGCTGAGACTGGCTTTGAACTGGATATCCTCCTGCCTCAACCTCCCAAGACACTGGGATTACAGGCATGTGCCACTGTGCCCAGCAATACTTTTACTGTACTTCTTTATTTTTATGTGATGGTAAGGATCAAACCCAGTGCCTCACACATGCAAGGTATGCGCTCTACCACTGAGCTACAAACTCAGCCTAAAGAGGATATTTTTAAATATCCAACTCAAGATTTTTCAGAAAAGAAAACTGAAGCCAAGAGGTATGAAATGACTCTGCCAAGGGATGGTTATGACTAGAACTGCATCTTCTGAACAGCAGTTAAGAACTCTTTCTATAGGGTATAAGGCTTCACTTTCCAGATATGATACCCAGGATTGGTAACTCATAGTTTATAATACTGCCCAGGGCTTGTACCAGAGAGATTCTCACAAATGCTTTAGGAATTGACAAGAAAAAGTATACAGGACTCTGAAAGCAGAGCATGGACAGCAAAGCATAGGGGGAAAGGCAAATCATTACATGTCTCTAGGCCTTGGTTTCTGTATCTCTAAAAGAGGAACCTTTATCATGGATCTGCTACCTCTTACAAGAATGCTGTTAAGGACACGGGACAAAGCAAATGTGGGGCATTTCCAAAGCTGCTACAGACACAGTCTCAATAATCTATAACCATATTGACGTACCCTGCAGATTTCTTAGGAGCAAAGAGCGGACTAGAGGTGCTGGTCCCTTCAGCTGGTGGTGGTATGTCTGGTCCAGGAATATCATTCTCAGTTGTCCCCAAAATGACTTCGGGCTGCACACCACTCTTGACAACTGGCATCTTACTGACTGTTGTACCACGACTCTCAGGAGCTTCCTTGACCCAAACATGGGCATCGGAGATGATCACTTCCTCCCACTCATTCTCCTCACCCACTTCTCTTGGAGGAGCTACATTTAAGAGCTGGCTTACAGCTTCTGAGTTTTCCAGAGTCAGTTTGGAGGCATTTTCTTTAGAGGAGTTTTGCTCAGTGGTGACAGGCTGCTGATTTCTTTTAACAATAGAACTTCTGGAAGAGACACCTGAAGCCAATTCTACTTTGACTTTGGCTGGCTTTTCCTAGAAAAAAGAAAGAATATATTGTATGCATTTTACAAGTGACAACACCACACACAAATATTCTCTCAGATGATCCTCTTAATAACAACATATAGAAAACTGAAGTCCACAAAGAAGGGGCTAACTCACAAGTATAAAATGAATCTGAGTCTTCTGATCCCAAGGGACATTCACTACAGTTATATACCTCGGTTAGGATAAATATATTCTCCTTCTAACAAATTTCTTTTTGGCATACTGCTTTTTCATCAAATAAACGTTGGCAATTTTTTAGTCTTAATTTTCAAAGCTCCTAGAGAAGAGGATGACATATGTCATATTGGGCTTCTAAGTCCAAATCTATTTATCTTGGTGGTACCAATATGGTCACATCATGTTTCTACTCCCTGGTGGAAAACCTTGCCTTCACCAGATTCCTTCAGATGAGTCTTTAGAATGACTTGCATATATGTCACATGTTTCATACTGGGACAAATTAATTCATCCATATTAATTATGTGCTAGAAAATATTCCAATTCATTAAAAACTTCATCTGCTATCTCAAATCTACTTTTTTATAGTAAAGTCCTTGGTCCCTTATCTTTTATCCAAGAAGCACCTCTACAGAAAAAATAGCATTTACACACACACACACACACATAAAACATGAAAGCTGGGTTCCATCTGTGCTCAGCTCCACTCCTAATGAGTTACATGGTCTAAGGTAAGCTTCTTCTGAGTCCTCATGTTCCCACTAAGAAATAACAGAGGGTTGGACCCTCAGTGTTTGTCAGCAGGAGCAAGCCAGCATTTTGGATAGCTCAGTTTATTCCTGCATGTTCCAGGAAGTTTAGCATCTGAAGCTAATGTTATTAAAACTCACCTACTGACAACCAAAAACCCCTCGTATTCACAAAGCTACCTGGGTAGTGTACTGTTTCTGGGTACACACCAATAACCAATGACATTTAAGAGCTCTCCAGTAAAGCATTCTCAAATTCGAACACACACTAGCCCAAGGATTAATAAGCATGGGTAAAGGTTCCAAGTAAACTGCAGAGTTTTTTAGCACAGGATGGAAGAGCAGAAAAACAGCAGACTATATCCATCTTAGAGATGTGATTTTTGAGTAAAATCACTGCTTAATAAGTAGGCTATTTCAGACAAAAATCGTTTGCACGAATGATACTATAAGCAATCTGAGCATCAACTCTATGGTGATCCCACATTTCCTTAACTTAATCTACCCTTTTAGATGTTGCTTTTCTTTCAAGATGGAAGGTAAATACAACCAGCGGTCCATTAAGAGAGAACTCAATTACCACTATCAGACTCTATATGAATGAAGCCTTGAGTTAAACAGCCTCATATGCTATCTTTTGTCCCACCCAATTAATTGGGAACTATACCACACATTCCTTGGGTGAACTTTAGCCAGTATAAACTCTAGAACAATACAAGAAAAGATGAGTCATTTCATGACTGGTATAAAAACATATGGAGCCTACAGAAACAATTTATATTTGCTGCCTCAAACATGAGAACTCAAGAAATCTTAGATGTTGCAGCTAAATGACATAGTAGTGTCCAAGAAATGTTTAGTGGAAAAGGTGCTGGCATAATTAACTATATGAACTTAGCAAGTCACTTCAATTTTTCTCTCAGCTAAAAAAAGTTGATAAACCAGTCACTATTTCTCTAAAATTCTAAAGTGTATTGATGCTGAAGTGTTACCTTTTTATTTTTTTCTTTTCAAATTCATTCTAACGCTGGAGAAAAAAATTCTGACTTAGCAAATCAAGATTGGGGGGGCAAGGGCAGGGCAAGTAGGTAAGAAAAAACTTGTTTTCGTGCCACACAAGGCTCAAGCGGTAGCGCGCTTGCCTGGCATGCGTGCGGCCCAGGTTCAATCCTCAGCACCACATACAAACAAAGATGTTGTGTCCGCCGAGAACTAAAAAATAAATATTAAAATTCTAAAAAAAAAAAAAAAAGAAAAAGAAAGAAACTCAACAGGGGCTGGGGATGTGGCTCAAGCGGTAGCCCACTCGCCTGGCATGCGTGTGGCCCAGGTTCGATCCTCAGCACCACATACAAAGATGTTGTGTCCGCCGAAAACTAAAAAAAAAAATTAAAAAAACCCCCAAGAAACTCAACAAAACTTCAGTTCATAACCCACTTGAATCAAATGTATGAAATATATGTCAAGAGCTTTGTAATGTTTTGAACAACCAATAAAAAGAAAAAAAAATAGTTACTATGCTACAAAAAAAAAAAGAAGCAACAGCATGCATAGCAATAATAGTTATATAAATGTCAAGCATGGAACCCAGGGGCCTCGCACATGTTAGGCGAGCGCTCTACTGCTGAGCCACAACCGCTGCCCCAACAAGGAACATTTACTAAGGTTTACTATTTATGAAAAATGTGCCATCCACTCATGGATAATCTCATTTGACCCCTCCAGTGATCTTTATTATTAACCTCCATTTGTAGATGAGAAAAAACCTTAACTAAGGAATACAGATATGACAACTTGTTTAAGGTTGCACAGCTAAAAACTTTAGAAGCTTAGGTTTGATCTAAGGATGGTAACCCCAAAACTATATTATAATTGCTGTTGTTTGAATCTTAAGGTATCTCCCAAATATCCATGTGTTAAAGGCTTGTTCCCCAGGATGGTACTGTTAGGGGACATACAACCTTTAGAAGGTGTGACCTAGTAGAGGTTTTATAGATACAGGGAGAACATCCTTGAAGGAGATTGTGGGTTCATGGTCTCTTTTCTCTACCTTGTACTTACTGGCCATGAGGTAAGAAGTTTTCTGTCACCAAACACTCCTACCAGGATGTGCCACCACCTTGCCACAGGCCCCCAAACAATGGGGCTAATGGACTATGGGCTGAAACCTCCAAAACTGTGGGACAAATGAAGCTTTTTTGTTTATAAGTTGATTATAACTTATAACTCAGTGGATCATGCCAAGTTAAACACATGACTATTAAAATCCTAGCCTAAGTAAGGTTCATAAAAACAGTACCCCTCTCTTTCCTTTTCTACTTATGTAACGTGCTATTGATCCTTCAAGATCATCTCTTATAAAACCTTTCCCATCCATTCCAGTCCTGGTAAGCATTTCTCTTAGAATTAATTGAGAATTAAATATATACCATTCTTTTTTCTTTTTGGTTCTGGGGATTGAACCTGGGGACATTTTATCACTAAGCCACACCCTCAACCCCTTTTTTTTGGGACAGGGTTTCACTATGTTACTTAGGGCCTTGCTAAGTTGCCGAGTTGCCCTTGAACTTGCCATGCTCCTGCCTCAGCCTCCCCAGTTGGTGGGATTACAGGAATGTGCCACCATGCCTGGCTATTCCATTCATTTTGACCCTAAAAATTTAGTATCATATAAAAAAACATGACAAGCATGTACATTTTATCCAGTCAATGCCAAGTGTACAACAAGTTAACAAACATGCTGAACTAAAACACCATATGAACATCTTCTAGGGATAAAAGCTGTAGGGGACGCAAAGATCATGGAGAAGCTTATGACATGACACAAACAGAAACACTGTTAAATGGTGATAACTGCTACTTAAAAGTGTCAAAGGCATACATACAGAGAAAGTCATTCATTCTTCCCTAAGGAAACCTAGGTATGTTTCACAGAAAAAAAATAACATTTACATTGAGTCATGATCCATCATTATACATTCATTTCAGAAAAAATAACCAACTTGTTTGTCTACAGGAGAGAAATGCAGAAAGAGAAAAGAAGGAAGGGTGGGAAGGAGGAAGGGGATGCATTAGAGTTAGATGATGGAAGACTTGAATACCAAGTTAAGTTAAGGACTTCGACTTCTACAGGAGAAGTAAAGGTTTTGAGCTAAGCAGTGAAAAGATGAGAGCTATGCAGTGAAAGCCAGGTGCGGTGGTGCATGCCTGTAAACCCAGTGACTTGGGAGGCTGAGGCAGGAGGATTGCAAGTTCAAAGCCAACCTCAGCAAGGGTGAGGCGCTAAGCAACTCATGAGACCCTATCTCTAAATAAAACAGAAAATAGGGCTGGGGATGTGGCTCAGTGCTTGAGTGCTCCTGAGTTCAATCCCCATTACCCAAAATAATAATAATAATAATTAAGCAGTGTGGGGGATGGATTATTAAGTTAGCCTTAACAGGAAGTGAGTAAATTAGCATACTGTAGTCATTCATGGGAAATTAAGAAGCAATTAAAGATAATATTGTTAAAGAATATTTAATAGATATTAAGTTAAATGAAAAAATATATATAACATGTTCGTAGAAAAATGGACTAAAAGAAAACATACCAAAATGTTAAGTAATAAGGCTTTTCTTTGGATGATATGATTGTGGATAAAGGCTGAAGGTGTAGCTCAGTGGTAGAACATTTGCTTCACAAGCATGAGGCCCTGGACCCAATCTCCATCATCATACACAAAAAATTACACATAAAATTTTGTTTTCTGTTATTATTTTTTAATTTTATAAACTGTTTATAATGAAAATGATGGTCAAAATTAAAAGTATCAATTTTTAAAAAGTTATCTGCTCTTAAGGGCAACAGGAAGCTTACTCTGCTGTGTTTCCAAAGCAACAATGGTCAACGGACCTTACCTTTGGGATCCACTTCCCTCCTAGGAAGTTACCACAGGTAGGGCACTTAGGTGGTTTGTGCCTAGTGACATATGTGAAGGAGCAACCTGGGCTGGTGCACGTCCCATGGCCCCGGCGAGTGTATGTAGTGGTCTGTTAAAAAAATAATAATAATAAAGTATCAGAATCAAGATCACAATCCAACCCCTCTAAGACGCTGCTGACCATTATAACCACAATGGTATATCACAGTGGTAACTGCTATTAATTGAGCAAGGTAACACACAGTGCTAAACATTTTAGTAATATCTCATTTAATACTCTCAGCAATGCTACTGAGTAGATAAGTATTATCACTACTTAGGTTCACAGTAGTTAAATGCTATCTCAAATCACATAGTGACTCAAAGGCAAAGCTGGACTAGAACTCAAATGTGTCTGATTCTGGGTCCAAGATTCCTTCTGTGTACCTAGGTGTACCCTCTGATTCAATATTTCAAAAAATTTGCTTCTTTTTCCTTCTTACTAGTTAAAAATCAGAGAAACTACGACCTAGAATTCAGAGATATAAAAATAGAACCATGATTACTGGAAAAAAATAATGATAAGAAAATGCAGGAGTAGAAATCAGGTCCTTTGATATTCACCAGAATTTAGTTGTTTGCATATGAATATAGTCAGCCATTGGCTCTCACCACCTCTACTAACCAACCTTTGAGCAAAATGTATTACAATGGGTTATTACATTTCAGCTACAAATGGGAATTATTCACTCATTAGCCATGTTCCATTTCTAGATTAAAGCTGAAAAAATAATTTCCTTATCAGATTTGTTTTGTCACTTATAATGTTTACTCAACTATTAATTTTGCCAAAAAGCAAAAATCTTCCTTGGGAAACACTAAATTGCCACTAGCTTTTACCTCTGCCAGGGAGCCTTAAGAAAAGCTGATTATCAAAGCAGTACCAAATAAAGCATGAGTACAAAGTGGCCAGGCACCAAGGAAAGAGACCAAGCTCTGGGTTCCAACTTTGCCATTAACACACTGGATGACCTAGAAGTAAGTCATCATAACTCTTGGGCCTTGGGTTTAATGTCTGTAAAAATCATACGCTCTTCCTATTTTACTGGTATCTTGAGGAAGAAATGAAGCAGAAAATGAAGAAACATTCACTTAGTAAATTGTAAGATTCTATACGTTTGTGAGAGCTAAATTACTGAGCTGTAAAACATCTGTCATCTTTTTTTAGACTGTGACCCCATACATAATCTTCATAGTGAACACTCCCAAGAAGCAGAATAAAAATTTAACTTAGTTCTATAAGTGAATTACCATGGAAATTTCAAGATGGCAGAATAGAGGAGGTTGCTTTTTTGGCTGCTCTGTGGTGTGAAACAAGAAAGCAGACAGGCAGCTTCTCAGCAAGTGGGTAAACAAACAAAAAAAAAAGGGTGGAGAGAACTTTACTGGAATTTAATACTGGACATTCAAAGCAGACTGGGGACTAAGGTTGGATATAATAAAAGAATGAGGTACTGGAAACCTTCAGGAACATTACAAGTCCACAGGATAGAAACTCTACTCCCTCAGACTGCTAGTTTGGACTGCTAGATGGGTAGACACACAAATAACTGAAAAAGCAAAGGAACAAATCACCCCAAACAAACCAAGATACTTCAATGACGGAATCCCACAATACCACAGTAGAAGAATTGTCAGAAGGCATTTAGAATGTACACAGTCAAATTGATCTGCGATGTAAAGGATGACATAAGGAGTAAAATCAGAGAGAAAATACAGGAAGTGAAAGATAACTTCAATAAAGAGGTAAGAGATTCTGAAAAAAAAATCAAGCAGAAATTCTCAAAATGAAGAAATCAATAAACCAAATTAAAAATTCAACTGAAAACATCACCAACAGACTAGACCACTCAGAAGAGTTTCAGGCAATGAAGACAAATTATATAATCTTGAAAATAAAGTTGACCATGAAGAAAAGATGTTAAGAGACCATGAACAGAATTTGCAAGAAATATGGGACAACCTCAAAAGACCAAATTTAAGATTTATTAGGATAGATGAAGGCACGCAGATACAAACCAACAGAATGTACAATCTTTTCAATGAAACAATGTAAGAAAATTTCCCAGACCTAAAGAATGAAATGGAAAATCAAATTCAGGAGGCTTATAGTGAAGCCAGATTTAAAATTAGGCAGTCAGTGTAGTTAGGGTCTAATATGGAGTAAAATCTAAAATGGAGGCCATGTTGAGAATGAATTTCTGGAAAAGTTGAGCAACTCTTGAAATGTTAATAAAGTCCCAAGAAAAGCCCTAGGCCCAAAGTCCATCCCAAAGAAATGTTAATGAATAGCCCCAGCAGATTTGAAGATAGCCCATCCCAAAGAAGTGTGAATGTAGTCCTTCCTGCCCAGATTACTTCTTTGGCCCATCTGTGTCCCACCCCTTGGGCCTTCCAACCTACATTCCATCACTGAAAGAACTATAAAAAGGGGAAACAACCCGCACTTCCACGGATTACACCTCTCTGGTCCCCTTCTTCCTCTAGGAGAAGTCTTTTCTGCTGTCCTTTAATAAACTTCTAATTTCTACTCTGACCTTGCCTTGGCGTGCTTCTCTGGTGTTATTCTTCAACAATGGGGAAGCAAGGACTCATCAGGTCAACAGCGTAACAATAGGACCCCAAATATACTAAATTACAATAGACCCACTTAGGCACATTATTGTGAAAATGACTAACATACAGAATAAGTATATTAGGCATCCAGAATAAGAATAGAATTTTAAAGGCTGAGAGAGAAAACAACAAATTACATTTAGAGGGAAATCAATACAGATCTCGGCTGATTTTTCAACTTAGATCCTCAAAGGTCTTGGAATAATATATACTAAGCTCTAAAAGAAACTGGATGCCAGACAAGAATGCTATACTCAGCAAAATTAAGCTTCAGAATTGACAATGAAATTAAAAAAAAAAACTTCCACAACTAGAAAACTTGTACTACAAAACATTCTCAATAAATATTTCATAAAGAAGAAATGAAAAATAAAAGTGAAAACCAGCAAAGGGAGGAACTACATTCGAAGAATAGTCAATCAAAGGAGAAACCAATTCAAAGTAAAAACCAGAAACAAATTAAAATGACAGGGAATAAAAACCATTTCTCAATAACAGCATCAAGGGGCTGGGGTTGTAGCTCAGTGGTAGAGTGCTTGCCTCACATGGGTGAGGGCACTGGGTTCGATCCTCAGCACCACATAAAAATAAATAAGTAAAATAAAGGTATTGTGTCCATCTATAATTAAAAATTAAAAAAAAAATAACATTGAATGCCAATGGCCTACAATCAATCAAAAAACAGACTAGCAGACTGGACTAAAAAACAAAACCCAACAATATGGTGCCTTTAAGAGACTCACTTCGTAGGCAAAGACATCCTCAAACTGAAGGTAAAAGGATGGGAAACAACACATATCAATCACAATTGTAAACAATCAGGGGTTTGTTTCTATCCTTATATTAGATAAAGTAGACTTCAAGCCAAAGTTAATCAGAAGGGACAAAGGAAATCATTTCAAACTGCTTTAGGGAACTGCACATCAACAAGACATAACAATTATATTCATGCCCCAAACAATGGAGCATATACATACATCAAACAAATCCTTCTCAATTTCAATACTGGGTGACTTTAATGTACCTCTCTCACCACTGGATAGATCTTCCACACAAAAACTAAACAAAGCTATAAAAATAAAAAACACAATTGATAACTTACACTTAACAGACATATACGGGATATTTCATCCATCAATGACAGAATACACTTTCTTCTCAGCAACACACAGTTCCTTCTCTAACATAGAAGGCTTACACAGGGGACAACTGATCATGGAAACCCACCCAGCTCTCCTCCCCCATGTAATGTAAGCTATCACATATGCTGGCAAACAACTGTAATATTACTTTAATATATTTTTAGCATCTATAGAGTTGTTTTAATAGCTCCCCTTTCATTAATTTTTGTGTTCTTACTTTTTTATTATACTTGTTAGATTTTTTATCAACTTTTAGCTGTATTATTTTTCTATTTCATATATTTCTGTTCCCACTCGTTATTTTTTCCTTCCTACTACCTAATATGAAAATAATTTGACTATTAATCTAGCTTCTTTCTGATAGTAGTACTTCAGGTTTATAAGTGTTCATTTGAGTACTGTTTCATCCCAGAGATTTGGAATATTTAATATTTTAATAAATTATTACTTCAAAGTACTTTTTATTTACTTCTTTTGTGCTTTCTTCTTTGACATGTGAGATATCATTTTGATTTGTTTCTGGTTTTTACTTTGAATTGGTTTCTCCTTTGATTGACTATTCTTTGAGTGTAGTTCCTCCCTTTGCTGGTTTAAAAGTGCACTTTTTAATTTTGAAGTAGTTGAGATGTGGGGATGGAGTTCTATTTATTTTAAGGTGACTGATTTCTAATGTAATAAATCATGCAGGAAACATGGTCTGCATGATTTCAAATTTGAAAAAAGTAATGGAAATCCTTTTTCTATTGATTGTATTGGTTACATACATGTCAAAACTGATCAAACTGCATACTTCAAATATGTACATTTTATTTTACTTCAATTTTACCTTAATAAAGCTATGAAAAAATTAAAATATTAAAAATAAAAAGAAAAGGAAAAATAAGAGGGGAAAAAATTACTATGAACTTGGAAATACTCTTAAACAGAACTGACTTCAGAGCGGTGTGAATATAGATCACACCTGTAATCTCAGACACTGGGAGGCTGAGGCAGGAGAATCTAAGTTCTAGGTCAGCCTCAACATCTTATCAAGACTCTATTCCAAATTTTTTTTTAAAAAAGAAAAGCGGGCGGGGGACTAGCGATATAGTTCAGTGGTATAGTGGGCATGGATGCAATCCCCAGTACTGCAAAAAAGAAAAGATGCTAGTGTTCAAGGCTGATGTTTTTAGGCCCAAGTACTGTCAAAAAAATACTGTTCTAGAAGAGTTTGGCAGACACTTTTTAGAACATGATAGTCATTTCCAGGAGCACGGGACTAAGAAAAAATAAGCAGTTTCTTCAAGTTGCAGCAACTATTTCTGTTTTAATATCCTGAAACTTTTTCATCTAAGAACATACTATTTATTTGGGTATGGTGGCACATGCCTATAGCCCATGACACTTAGGAGGCTCAGGAAGGAAGAATGCTTCAGCCCAAGAGCCCAGGAGTCTCAAAACAACAACAACCAAAAAAAAAAAAAAAAAAAAAAAAAAAATTAAAGTATGTATCACTTATCTGCAACAGGAGTTAAAGATAATATATTAACACTAAAGAAACTCACAAACAGAACCAAAATAAACTTAATAGTGTATAAGCCATTAAAATGGAAAAAAAGAATTCATAAAAATACAATTAAATCAAAAGAAAGCAGAAAAAATGGATGGAACAAATAGTAAGATAAGAGATCTAAACTTAACCATTTTAATAATTATATTAAATAAAAATGCCTTAAACTCTCCAATTAAGATAGATTGTGAGATGGGGTTGTAGCCCATGGTATAGCACTTGCTTATCATGCAGGAGGTATTGGATTTAATCCTAAACACTGCAAAAAAAAAAAAAAAAAAGAGAGAGAGAGAAAAAAAAACCACTTTAAATACCAAGATATAATTTGTGAAAGGTTAAAACGACAGAAAAAGATAGATCTTAATGTAATAATTATAATTAAAAAACCAGGTCCGACACAGACAAAGTCAATTACAAAGCTAAAATTACTAGAGATAAAGATATTTTCATAATAATGAAGGGGTCAATTTATCAAGAGAACATAACAATCTTATATGTTTATGTACTTAGGAAGAGTCCAAATATAGACAGAAAAATAGAATTGTAAGAAGAGACAAATCTGCAATTTTTTCATAAATAACTGATAGAACAAATAGGCAGAAAGGATATAAAAGAGTTGAAGTACATTATCAATCAACCTGACCTAATCTGACATGTATACAACACTCCATTCAACAGCAGAATACACATTCTCTTAAAATGCACACAGGACATTTATCAAGATAGACCATATTCTGAGCGATAAAATAAATCTAAATAAATTTAAAAGGACTCAGATTTTATAAACCATAAAATTCTGACAATGAAATTAAATTATAAATCAGTAACAGAAAAATATATGGAAAATCACTAAATATTCCAAAAAAAGGTAACACACTTCTATGTAACTCATGAGTCAAATAAACAAATCCAAAAGAGGATTTTAAACCAAGTGAAAATAAAAATATACTATCAGAATTTGTGGGATGCCACTAAAGTAGTGCTTAAAGGGAAATTTATAACACTAAGCACCTATATTAAAAAAGAAAGGTCTCAAATCAATGACATCAGCTTCCACCTTAAGAAACTAGAAAAAAAAGAGTGAACGATAAGTGAAATAGAAACAAAAACAGAGAAAACAATACCAAAAGCTGTTTCTTGGAGATCAATATAATTTATAAACTTATAGCTACGCTTATCAGGAAAAAAAAATATGGAAGACCCAAATTGTCAGAAACAGGAATGAGACACATGAAATCACTATAGATTCTACAGATTGGAAAGGATAAAAATTCCTCAAAAATTTAAGCACAGAATTACCATGTGACCTAGCAATTCCACTCATAACTATGTACCCAAAAGAATAGGATACAGAGACTCAAACTAATACTTGCACACCAAAGTTCATAGCAGCACTTTTTACAACTAGACAAAATACAGAAACAATCCAAATGTCCATGAAAAGATGAATGGATAATAAATGAACAAAATAAAAAATATTTTTAAAAATAACAAAAAAGATGAACGGATAAACAAAATATGGTATATACACACAATGGAATATCTAGACATAACATTCTAATACAAGGTTTGAGATAAATGAACAATATTTGTATAATTTCACCTATAACAGGTACCTAGAACGTGTAAATTCATAGATAAAAAGTAGGAGAGAGGTGGGAATGGAAAGTTACTATTTATTGGATATAGAGTTTCAACTGGGAACAAAGAAAAAGTGCTAGAAGTGGATATTGGTAACGACTCTATAATACTACGAATGTACTAAATGACACTGAACTGTATACTTAAAAATTATTAAAATGACTGGGTATCGTGGCACATGCACATAATCCTAGTTACTTAGGATACTAAGGAAAAAGGACCACAAGTTCAAGGTCAGCCTGGGAAATTTAGCAAGACCCTGTCTCAAAATTTAAAAAAAATAGAAAAGGATGAGGATGTTCCTTGGTGGTAGAACCCCTGGGTTCAATCCCCAGTATGAAATAACAAATTTCCTGACAGACAATATACAAAGAGCTTACTCAAAAATAGGTACTCCAATGCCGCACTCCAAACAGTCCTATATAGCTGGGCACGAGATATGCAACAGTAGTCCCAGCTACTCTAGAGGTTGAGGCAGGAGGATCATAAATTCAAGGCCAGCCAGGGGAATAAAGCAAGATTGTATCTTTAAAAAAAAAGCCCCATGTATATTTTTAAAAGTTGGACTTGTAGTTAAAAACCTCTCAGCAAGAAAACTCCAGGCCTAGATGACTTTACAACTTCACTGGTAATTCTACCAAACACTGTAAGAAATAATATGAACACAACATCACAGAATTACCATGTGACCCAGCAATTCCACTCATAACTACCCAGAAAACAGAAGAGGAGAAAATAGTTTTCAACTCATTTTATGAAGCAAGCACACAAAACTATTATACAAAAACCACACTACACACATTAGAGATTAACATCCCTCATGAACACAGATACAAAAATTCTGAACAAAATTTTAGTAGATCAAATCTGACAATACATAAAAATAATAATAGATTACTGCCAAGTAGGGTTTAATCCCAGGAATGCTGTGTTGGTTTAACATTTGGAAAAACAATGAAGTTAATCACATTAACTAACTAGAAAAAAGAAAATCCACACAATCATCTCAATAGACACAGAAAAAGCATTTGACAAAAATCCAATATCAGTTCCTAATAAAAACTCCTAGAAAGCTGGGTGAGGTGGTACACATCTATAATCCCAGCAATTTGGAAGGATAAGGCAGAATAGATTACTGCAAGTTTGAGGCCAGTAAATTTGTGGTTTCAGCAACTTTACGAGACCACACTGCAAAATAAAAAAGGCTGGTTCAGGGGTAGAGGCCCCCTAGGTTCAATCCCAGTAATGCAGAAAACAAACAAAAAATAAGAACAACAAAACCCTCCTAGCAAATCAGAAATAGAAGGAAACATCCTAAACTTGATAAACAGGATCTATGAAAAACCTACAGCTAATATCATACTTAATAGTGAAAGACTGAAATTTCCCCGAAGATCTTATCTGCCCTTAGGACTTTTATTTAACATTGTACTAGAGGACCTAGACAATGTAATAAGGTAAGAAAAAAAAATCAATTATATTACTAAATACTAGCAGGGAACAATCAGATATTGATAATTTTTTAAAAATTTTATGATAGCATCGAAAACATGAGGGATAAATCTCAGCCCAGATGCTATAGTGTGTGATGAAATAAATATCAACTGAGAATCAAAAAAACTAGAATTCTGGTTCTGGCTCTCTTGTAGTCTAGGGGCCTTTCTCTTCTCTGGGTCTGTTCCCTAATCTATACAATAACAATATTTAATTATATCAGTGGCTCCTTTTTTGAAAGCATGCATGATTCTGAAAATTTGATAGCCATGGAATCTATCCCAGGAAAATTCTCTCCAGCAGTTTGTATATAACTTGAGGGAATTCATGGATCCTGTGGAGTTCTATAAAACTCCCAATTTAAGAACACATGGCCTGGATAATCCCCGAGACCTCTGCCAGTCCCAACTGTCTAGCAGTCTAAGTGTCTCTCTCTCTCTCTCTCCCTTTTTTTTTTAGTGTGTTATAATTATATATAACATATAACACTGTTATATATTCGTATATGCATACAACATCATTTGGTCAATTTCATTCCCTAGTCAAAGGGTCAGAGACTTTTTAAGAAAAACTAATTTAGGCCGGGCATGGTGGTGCATGCCTATAATCCCAGGACGATCGGGAGTTCATCAGCAAAAGTGAGGTGTAAAGCAACTCAGTAAGACCCTATCTCTAAATAAAATACAAAATAGGGCTGGGAATGTGGCTCAGTGGTCAAGTGCCCGAGTTCAATCCCTGGTACCCATCGTACCCCCCAAAAGAGAAAAACAACTTTAGAAAAGAAGAACCCTAAATGCTATCACCTCTCCAAATACTGACCAGTTTGATGGAGGTGGGGTTCTCCACAACTGAGTAGGCAGGCAGAGGCAACATGATGTACTGTGTGGCTGGTGCAGAGGAGCTACTCTCACAGGAGTCCTGCAGGTAATGGAGAGAAGGACAGTTTCATTGAAGTACAGTGCAGAACACCACTCATAACACTTGAAGACTATTAAATCCAATACTCATAAACAGTGTGCTTATCAATGTATACATGTAGAAACAAATATATAGTTACCTCAAAATGAAGACAAGTTTAATTAGGAGGAAACAAAGAGAAAACTACTACCACAAAATATTTGCTATCCTAGTTTTACGTATGAAAAAACGGAGGTTCCAAGAGTCTTGGGACTCCTAAGATCACATAAGCAGTGAGAGAATCCAATTCTTCTAACCCTGTCAATATTATCTTTCCAGTCCTGGGGATTGAACTGAGGGTCCTGTACGTGCTAGGTTAAGTGTTCTACCACTAAGCCTTCTTAGACTTACTAGGATTCCCACCTGTCTGAGAATGCTATCCCATCCAGGGAAAAGAGCAGAAGCCATACACTGGGGCATGGTAGCCAATTCCCCCACTTCTGGGAACCAGCTATACAATCAATGAAACTGTTACTTTTCCTTCAAATGAACATAAGTCTTAGGCTAAATTACTTAATCCCATCAAACTGGCCTTGAATAAAATGTCTTTCTTCCTACCCCATCTGTACCTAGGAATAAATTTTAATAATTCTCATATACAGATCAAGGTGCCACTGTTTGCTCAAATAGTCATTAAGAATACAAAATCCTGACTGGTATTAATAGCCTGACAGGTCCTGGTTTTGACAATTTCCAGCTTTCCTGCTAATGAATCTCATGTGCCATATTATGTCAAGAAAATTCTCATTAAGCTGGGCCAGAATTATTAATAGGAGTGCCTGAGAAACTGAGACCTTTGGAGCAAGCACAGAGGTCAGAAATATTCAAGAGAACTAGTCCCACCAGAAGTTCCATATAAGAACTCTTACCATATCACTGTTCCAAAATCACACTGCATGGTGCTGGCTGCCTTTTTACTAACTCCTAGATAAAGAAAAAGATGAGTACCAAAGCCACTTACCCTCATGACTGTCACCACTGATACACTCTCCCCAACCTGGGGGTGGGACACAGCCAGGCTTCCAGTGGGGAGGTCTGATGAGCCATTCACTAAGGTCTCTTCAATTACCAGGCTTGTCTGATAAGGCTGGTGGCTCTCTCCTACCTCCAAGGAAGCCTCCTCCAAAAGCACATCCTGGCCGAGCATCTCTGAGGTGGCAATCTCTTGTACAGCACCTGGATGAGCAAGGGTTCCCACCTCCTCAGCCAAGGCCTCCACAGCCAGGCATTGCTCTGCCATGCCAGCATGGCTGGACACTGTCTCTGGGGCAGTGCTGGACACAAGAGGAGGTCCTTTAGGGGAGATCTGGTTCTGAGCCACACACAGCTCTAACTGAGGGCAGCTCCGGTCCTCCTGTAGGCTGCTCTTGGGGATAATGATGTAATCTGAGCGGGGGAGGATCTTGCGGAAACCTGGAATGTCCGGAACCACAGCAGTCAGTGCAGACAGTTTAGAGTTCTGAAGATGAGAAAGCCAGGGAAAGAGGGATAAGCAAAGACAATGGTAAAGTAAATAGATACATATGTATTAGCTCATTTTTTTTTCTGCAAAAGGACCAAAAAGACTCTACTCCCTTGATTTAAATTAGTTAGGGTCAGCCTCTGTCAACAGTAATGTCATCTTCACTTGAATCAATCTTACTTCTTGGTGACTCACATAGAAAATGTAGGCATCTAAAACTATGAGCTAGTACTACTGGCCTAGCATGGTCTTGAGAAAATACTTTCTTCTTTTGAGGTCTCAGTTTCCCCATCTATACAATGAGTGCAATCTGGCAATATGAGTTCTTTTTGAGCTTTGATACTTCGGGATTCCTAAGTATATAAAGTAGTCTATAAGCTTTACCAGAATGTATCATGCTCAATAAAAATCCTAAAAGCATAAAAAAAACCCCAATAGGTCAAGATGGAACTCAATACAGCAAGTCAGGTTTTCTGACCTCACTGGTTCTCCCAGATTTACAAAAAAAAAAAAAAAAGGTCAAAAGTTGAGAAAGCACGGTGAGAAAAAATATACATAGCAGGGGCTCCATGAAGTGTCCTGAATATATTTAAAGAGAAAAAAAAAGTGATCTAATACATTAAAGTTAGAAAATGCTTTCAAACCTATTCTCTAATTTCACCTTAAAAACAATACTATCAAGTTAGGTGACACTATTATTAACTGCATTTAACACAGGAGGAAATTCAGGCTGAAGAAGATTAAACTTCCAAAACACAAATTTATTAAGTAGTAAAGACCTGACTCAAGGCAAAGTCTCCTTAAGATCAAGAAGACCTGGGACTAAAAACATAACCCTGTATGGTTAACTGGCACCAAAAAAGGGGCATTTTGTTTCATTTTTTCAACTTAAACTGAAAGTCATCTAATAAGGAAGTAGGAGTTCAAAGTAAATAGGGAGAGCTAAAACTAAATGCAACAACAACAACAACAAAAATAATTTCAGAAGCATATTTTAGAAGAAACACTAAAATCAATTACAAATGAATCCTTGAATCAAAAACAAAAAGTCAATAAGACTACTTAGTGTTTCTTAGGAAACACTAAGAAATAAAAGAAACATTCAGATGAAACATGAAAGAAGACAGACTTAATCCTTTATGGAGCAGGTGTTGAGGAAACATTCTCTAGTCAACCTCTGAAGCTGGCCGATTAAAAGAACATGATTAAATGGTGGCAAATACACTTAAATCCAAGCATAGAGAAAACAGAATGGTCTGGATGACATCAATTTTACAGGCTGGAAGGAATAACACTGGAACACTGGACCTGCCCTTGGTGGGAGACTGAAAGGGCTGCTGAGGAGGCAGCCTGCCACAAAGACTCTGACAAGCTACTACATTCAGGCAGGGAGGTTCTCAGCCTCACACCAGGCAATATGAGAAGATGAACAGCCCCTAAAGTTTCACCCAGCCTTGGCACATTTTAGTTGCTCAATAAACAACACCTTTACTTATATGTTTATTGGACATTTAATCTACTCAAGGGTGACAATTATTGACAAAGTCAGAATGTGCAAGGATTTAGATAGGTGATTTTATTCTCTTTTTAAACATTATGAGTAGGTACTAGATCCATTTGTAGATGAGTTAAACCAAGACTCAAAAGTTAAATAATTCTTCTAGTGTCACTCAGTATCAGAGCTAAGCCATTCATGATCTTGGTGGTAGTGGTGAAGATAGGATAAATTTAAATATGCATATGGATAAGGAAGAATCATGGCTGATGACTTACAATTTTCAGTCTTTATAAGGATCTACATCCTCAGTGTCTAGTAAAACCAAATCATTCCAAGACTACATGAAATTTTCTTCATCATGGACAAAAATATTGCATTGGTTGGGGGGATGCTGGTGGCTGAACCCATGGTCTCACATATGCTAAGCACATTGTCTGCCACTGAGCTACACTCCCAGCTCTTAGATCTCGAATTATACAATAGGGAAGGAATAGGTTTTCTTTTCTTTTCTTAGATTCTATCTCCCACCCCCACCCCCAGGGATTATTTCCCAGACTCACACCTTATAAACAAATCTAAAAGAGGTAGAAAGTGGTATCTTTAAGACTATAAGTTGTCAAGTAAATAAGAACAAAATCTAAACGGCAGTGGCAGATGAACTTAATATAACCTGTTCTGTTACATACTTGTTGACTTCAAAAGAAACCTCTGCTTTATATCATCAAAAAAGAAGATAGAGACAATTGTTTAATTGGAGCTCAAGTATAAAGATTTCAGCTTGTAAGAGAAAGGTTTTATTTCCTGCAGGAACTTCAATTAAAAAAAAAACAGCTGTTTAAATAGCTGCCAATGTATTTTGTCACACTGTGAAGGAGAAATAACAAAATGGCTGACAAATATAAACCTAAATGCTTTCATGATAGTTCTTTAATCCAAGCATTCAAAGCTTCAGTTTCCTCCATCATCTTTGGCTTTAATCTTGCAGTTTTGCTTCTAGTATATTTCATAATCGCCATTAGTAACAAAAGAACCCCATGCTACACAAACAATGGCATCTTACCTCTAACCATGCATAATTCTTGATTATAGTTGATAATAGTCAGTAAAATTAATTATACCATAATCAATTTGCAATATGAAAACATATAAGAGAAATGCCTTTGTAAGCTATTTTATTAAAGGAAAAATACCACTAACTACCCAAGAGATAAGGGCTCCAAGTTCTACTAAAATTCAGAAAAGGAGCCTAAGGCTCACTGCAGAAAACCCAGAAAATGTCAGCTTTAGTACTGTCATAACCAAAGAGGAAAAGAGAGTCCAGAGAATCATCAAAATGGAAACAGACATTGTGAAATTCAAGAAAGATAAAATGATAAAAATTTTCCCAAGCAAAGAAAAGAAAACAAGGTGGTTGGTCTCCCCAAGGCTTTCTCATTTGAACCAATGGAGAAATTAGCTGGAAAAAAATTACTTACAGGATCCAAACCTTCTTTCTCTAGTTTGGCTTTCTCCAAGTAGTAACTCCTCTCGGCCACGCTGAGAAGTCTCCAACTCTCACTAATCTTCTTATTGATTTCAGACTGTGGGAGGTGGGGGAGCTCTTGTTGCACTTTCAGGTAGATGTCATAGTAGTACAGAAGGTAAGCAGACCTGAGGAAGCAACCACTTCTTCAGACCTTCCCTTATTCACCCCATGTGTACCACAACATTAGAGGCTGCATAATTAAGAGATTAATATAAAAACCCAGCATCTCCATTCAAAGCAATTAATAAGACTGAAAATCAAGCAAAAAAAAAAAAAAAATTTATAACACACCCAGATGGTATTTGAGAGGTGGGGCAAAATGAATAGTAAAGACAAGTCAGTGGTTATTCTCCCTTCAGAAACCTGGAAGAAAGGCGATGTACTTTTTCATGGACCACTTTTTCCTGCAGGACCAACTGGCTTAAAATCAAATATAGCCAAAGAAAGACACAGGTGTCCTGTTGCACCACTCAGGGAAAGGCTATCAGGGGGCTGATTGCCCAGGCTGGTTATCTCACATACTTTTTACTCCTTTACACAGCCTCTGGTCATTTAACTGAACAAAAATACCTCCTGAAGGCTGAGAAAGCCTCAGCAAGATGTATGCAGTGTTCACATTTAAGAGGGATATTACAGCTACAATCTGGATATTCTCTATATATGTCACTGGTACTATTTATAATTCTATAATTTTATTAATGACTTGTTTTAATATTTAAACAACAATGGTATAATAAAAATAATGTAGCTCTTTTTGTACATAGCTTCTACCATCTGTCTGGTGCAAATTTTATTTTTTTTATGACAGCCTGAAAACATAAGCAAAGTCTGGCCAGGAACAGCAAATGTTGGCATGTATCCAGTCACTTTCCATCTTCCTCTCCCCACTTCCCAATGCCCATTCAAAGACTTCAACAACTGTACTCTTAAAAAAATTTTAAAGTATTCTTCAACATGGCTCTCGAAGCAGTAGGTTTATAAATTTCAGCAGCAACCAAAACATGTTGGCTAACCTGGGTTTCTTGGCCTTTTCTCCATGTATTTTATACTTTTTCTTCTTCTTAGGTGGCCCAGAGGAGGTATAACAGAAGGCTTCCTCAATTTCCTCCATCACGACAGTTACCTCAGTACCATCATATGATGCATCCATGGCTATAGGCAAGGAAAGTCAAACACAAAATTTTAAAAATCTATCCTAAAAGGAGCAACTGCCTCCAGATGCAATAATACCTTACTTCTATCATGGTCTAAAGGCTTAGCCATTTCCCAAACTCAGCAGATACTGAGAAACATGGGTACTTGTTAAATATACAAATTTCAAGGCTCCACTTCTTCTGAATTGGAATCTCTAGAAGGTATATAAACTTATATACTTCACAAATATCTTAGGTGATTCCTTTGACATACTCATATTCACTCATGGAACACTGTAATTCTTCAACTCAAAGACTTTATAGCCCCACATGGAAACAGGTAAAAAGACAACCTGGCCAGGAGTCAGAAGTTCTCACCCTCTCCCTTAAGGGGTTGTCATCAACTTAAACAGCTTCAATTCATTGAAGTAATTCAAACAGCAATAAGGACCTATGTACAAAAGATTTCTTTACACTCTGTCAGCTTGTGTGATTTCAACTGTTTGTGTGATTTTTAACTGCTTTAGGTTCTCTCATGTATAAAAAGAGATGTCTCACTTACCTCCCCACAGATTTACAGTGGTAAGTCTCAAAAGATCTAATAGACATAACTATTATTTGAGAACAGACAAGTATTATACAAATGAAAGCACTCATTATTAAAGACTATTATTTGTAATTGAGATGCTTAACAACTTGCCTAAGGCCACCAGACCTTTTTATTTTATCTTATTTTTTTGGTACTGGAGATTGAACCCAGAGGTGCTTAAACACTGGGTCACATCCTCAGTGCCACAGTCTAGCTGGGCACAAAATCACGAGCCACTCAAGCAGGAACAAACTTTATTTCCAAAACTCCCTCGAACCGCCATGACCGGGACACACACCAACCGGAAATCCCTCCTACCACACTTCCCCAATCAATGGGAACTCGCTGGGAGTCCCAGTGAGAGCTCCACAGTAGCAGGCCCAGGAGGACAGCAGGGGTCTAATATCCAATTGAATGCACATCTTAACATAATCATTATCACCTCAATGGCTTGCTGACCTCATTCCTACTTGGCTATGGCTCTTAGCACTCAGCCCTTTTTGAATTTTATTTAGAGACAGGTTGAGTTGCTAAGTGCCTTGCCAAGCTGCTGAAGCTGGCTTTGAACTAGCAAATCCTCCTGCCTCAGCCTCCCTAGTCGCTGGGATTACAGGTATGTGCCAAATTGCCCGGCTCCTTTTTAATTTTTTATTAAAAAATTCAACTCCCCAATCCTTTTTACATAATGCTACACTGCTACTGGCAACTCTCCCTACCAGAACTGTCCAATAAACCCCAATGGAAATGATCTACTCTATGCTGTCTAGTATAGTATTCACTAGTCACATAAGGTTATTTAGATGAAGAACCAGACTAATTTTGCTTTACTGAACTGTAATTAATTTAAAATAGCTGTATATGGCCAATAGAGTACAGTGGTAAAATACTATTCAGCACAGATCTAAATGGTAACCTGATAGATCGGCATGAGCTCTCTGAAGCTGGCTTAAAAACAGAAAATCTACTGAGAGCTTTTATGTGTAGGAAAAAGGAGGAATAAAAAACTGAATGCCTGGGGCTGGGGATGTGGCTCAAGCGGTAGCGCTTGCCTGGCTTGCTTGCCCGGATTCGATCCTCATCACCACATACAAAGATGTTGTGTCCGCCGAAAACTTAAAAAAAAAAAAAAATTATATATATATATATATATATATATATATATATATATAAAAAGTTCTCTCTCTCTCCCCCTCCTCAAAAAAAAAAAAAAAAAAAAAAGACTGCTTGTAATATGGCAAGATTGTTTAAAAAAAAAAAAAGAATGCCTAACCAGGCATGGTGGTGTACACCTGTAATCCCAGCAATTCAGAAGGCTGAGACAGGAGAATCCTAAGTTCAAGACCAGCCTTAGCAACTTATTGAGGCCCTAAAAAATTAGTGATGACTCTGCCTCAAAATAAAACATAAAAAGGGCTGGTGACTTAGCTCAGTTCAGTGGTAAAAAAAAAAAAAGTGGGATGTGACTTAGTGATAAAGCCCCTCTGGGTTTTAAAAAACACTGAATGCTTAGATCAAGAAGAGATCATTTATTTGTGATCAAGTTCTAGGTTGGAATTTTATCAATTAAATCCTTGAAGAAGCAAGATTCTCAGAAAACCTTGAATTTCCTGAGAGGAATAATAGTTGTTAATGAAAATCTATCAGAAGAAAATTTGGAATTCTGGAAAAAGGGATTTGTGGGATTCTGGAAAGAGGTAGGAAACACTTATATGTACTACAAAGCCCATCTGCATCTCATTTAGACCTCACTCCACAACTCCACAAATGATAAGGCATCTTACAACTATAATGAGCAAAAGAAGTCTATACATGGAGTCAGGGGACCTGAATCCAACTCTAAATTCTTACTTTTATTATCTCAAACAAAGGCAATCCACAACCTAAATTTCCGTTGTTTTTTCTATGGACGAAGAGGATGAAATTAGTAGCTCCTACCTTTGAGGAGTCAAGAATCCTTTTGACAAATGTGAAAGCTAAAAACCTCCCCTAGAAAATGAAGACATACAATATTTCACCTATATTTTAAAGATATATATCCCAGGTTATAAGCATATTATTCCTAAGATCTTTTATAGTTGTGTTATCTCTAAATGATTCCTCTTCTACCCCTCTCTCCCAAAAACCTCTAAACAAAGAAAACAAAAACAAAAACCTGCAACCCAGGAAAAAAATATAGTCCACAACTTGGTTGGATAAACAAAAGGCAAAAGGGTAAGGGAAGCTGGAGTTCAAAGCAAGGTTATGTGGGGACTGTGCTTTTTTGTCCTTTATAATTGATTTCCTGGCCCTTAAAATCCTTGTAGAGAGGATCAGTATCTCCAAGAGAACATCTGTAAAGGATGACATGTAAGATTTTAGCAACCAGGGCAAAACAAGTTAAGAACCAAAATCAATACAACCACATTTGGAGCAGGAAGAGACTACCCTAAGCTTTTGTTTTACTATCCTGTTCTGTCTGGGAAGAATGTTTTCTGCGGCTAGGCCTCAGTGCATCAGTGCAAAAAGAGGCAGGATAAAATGAGGTTAAAGCCAAGGGCTCTACAGAAGACCTGGGTTCTAATGTTGTTTCCACCGTTTAATCGCAGAAGTACAGACCCCTATGGCTTAAGAAACCTATTTACCCTCTCCAAACCTTAGTTTTCTCATTTGCAAAACACAGAGGGGCAGCATTTGAACTAGAGACACTTTCACTGTCCCATCAGATCCTAGGAATCTCATAAGATGACTCGACTATCGGCCAGGTTTGACTCTGGGATACCTTAGTTCCCTCCCTGGGTCTCAGATGTCTCAAAGGCATGGGCTGAGGGAAGAGGAAACTAAAGCTCACTGGTCCTACTTTGTCGAAGAGGCAACCGAAGCTAAGAGAGAGACGGCACTTAGTTCGAGGTCGCCCAGCAGGTAGATAGGGCGGCGTGACCCTCGTGAACCAGACTTACCAGGAGGAGCGTGCTAGCCGCGCGGCTCACATTCCGGGAGGCGCCTGGCCCAAGGGCTAGACTAGGAGGCTTGCCCGCGCACTCGCGCTCCCCGCTGTCGGAGAGAGGCGGCTCCAGTCGTGACAGCGGCAACAAGGAAGTGGAGGCGAGGGCTCGCGCGCGCATCCCGGGTACTGGAGGAGCCCCGGCCCCGGGGCCCCCCGGAGACACACGGCGCAGAGTCGCGACCACCCCTCCTGCTCCCCTCCTCGGAGTCGCGATATGGGGTCGGGAAGGGCAACTGCAGGAGTTCAAGTTCACTTTGCAGGCTTCTCACCGACGCCTGCAGAGGACCCCGGGGGTCGAGCCCCGGGGAGCCCGAGGAAGAGAGCAAGGACACAAGTATCCTCGCGGCACTAGTCTAGAGGTGGCGGTGGCAGCAGCAGCAGCAGCAGCAGCAGCAGCAGCRGCGGCGGCGGCAGCAGCAGCACACCACGGATCGCCAGGGAGACCCGTCCCGGCGGCCCTCGCGGCGCACCGGAAGTGGCCGGCGGCGCGTGACTGCGTGAAATCCCTCGCGCAAGCGCAACAGTCTAGCCCTAGCTGGGAAGTGGATCCAAAGGAATCGTTTAGAGGTTTTGAGTGGGGCTGTTAAGACTGACGGACTGCTTCCGGCCAAAGGTCCCGGGCAAAGGAGGAAGCTGTGGCTGCCGGCTGTGGAAGTGCCCGGCCGTTTAGCCCCGGGGCACTGCAGTGGGGCGTTCAGGTAACAACAGGGGCGGGGCTGTGCTGCGCGTGAGGGATAGAGCCCCGCCTCACGTCTCAGAGCCACGTCGGGCACTGGGGAGCATACCGCACCACCCTCTGCGGAGCAGCATCCAAGGCCTCACCCCAGCCCTCCTCAGTCGGCCCGTCCTCATTCAGGATAGGTTGATACTTAAGGCCACATCAATCCCCTCTCTCACTTCGGTGATGTGTCCACAATCCGTCTCCACTGTCCTACGGACAGTAACGACAGTGAGTTCCTGGAATGACTCAAGCCAAGTTCCTGGAGTGTGGAGAGGCTCCGGGAATCAGGGATTGGACTGGATTGTCTCCCGGGTCACATATTGTGCTATATTTGAACAAGTTCCTGCACGACCCTCACTATTTTGCAAATGTAATTACAATCTGCTTTCTTCTTTTTGTCTACCTCTATCACCAACCTCCCAGCCAACATCATTTCCTTCCTGAACTTCCACCCTTGTCTCTTTACAGTCTATCCCACTTCTGCTTGTCTCTCTACAGTCTATTCACACAGCAGCCAGATTGATCATTTTGCATTGTAAGTCTTGTCATGTTAAATGCTTAACATTCTCCAATATCTTGTCTTTCACTTAGAATAAAATTCAAACTTCTGGATCTGGGGGTTTGACTTAGTGGTAGACCATTGCCTAGCATGGGAGAGATCTCCCCACAAAAGAAAAATTAACCAAACTTCTTAGGTTGATCAAAACTTTGGTTTGGCTTCCACCTCATTCTCTTTACATGTCTCTTTTCAGTATCAGTAATTTTCAGAACAAACGATATAACATTTTTTTTAGTGTTCAGAGCATTAATTTTGTCATGAGCCTTTCTGTATTTGAATCCTAGCCCTGCCACAAGTAAGCAGTATTAAGTATGTAAAGTGCTTCACAAATTGTTTAAGCAGTAGATGCTCAATATTTGGTTCCCATCTCAGTAAATAGCATCACAATCCACTGGATTGTTCAGGCTCAAACCAGAAATCTGAGAGTTGTCATTGACTCCTCTTTGATCTCATATCCTCACCACAACAAGGCCTGCAAAAACAACCCTCAGCTGATTACTTCTCACTATTTCCTATATTACTACTCTAATCCAAGCCACCTCATCTGTTGTCTGGACTGTTTTGTTTTTTTTTTTTAATTTTGTGCTGGGGTCTAGCCCAGGGCCTTGCTTATGCACTCTATCATTGAGCTACATGCCTGCTTTTTCCCCAACACCTTTTAATTCCATTCTTCACACAGCAATCAGCTTTTTCTTTTCTTTTTTTTTAAGTCCTACAGTTGTTTCCTGTTGCATTCAAATTAACATTCAAACTGCATGCAGTCCACTAAGCTAGCTTGCTTTTATCTTCAGATTTAGGAGCACCTCTTAGGAAAATGGATTTTACCTATTAGGTTCTCCACCCTGCAACAGGACTCTTTCTAAAGTACAAATCTGATTTGTCATTCTCTAAAAACCCTCCAAAGGCTGCTTTATATTTATTTTTTGTTCGTGTGAGTGTATGTGTCTGTGGTACTGGGGATTGAACCCAGTGGAACTCTATGACTGAGCTACATCCCCAGACCTCTTTATTTTTTACAGGGTCTCACTAAATTGCTGAGGGTACCCTCAAACTGAGGCTCCAGCCTCAGCCTGTTGAGTTGCTGGGAATATACGTGTATGCCACCGTGCCCAGCTAACCAAAGACTTCTTACTGCACCCAGGATCAAGCTAGAGTCCTAACTAGGCCTTTGTGATTTGGTTCTGCTTCCCCCCAACCCAACCATGCCTGACCATGACATTTTATTTTCTATAGTAATCCATTGCCTTAACTCATATTTCCTTACATCTCGTAATTCTAGCTTGTTTATTTCTTAAGGCCCAGCACATTGCTTTCTCTTTGAAGTGCCCCCGTCCATGCCCCATTCCAGTTGATTATCCCTACTTCTGTGTTCACATGGCACTCTATAACCTCTGTTACAGTATTTCACACACTCAGGGCATATCTTCGCTGTGCTCCCTCTCTATGTGGCTGGCATTGAAAACATACAGGATGCCATGAATGGAAGGATAGATGTGTGGAGATGGTGTAAAAATCTCTCTTTGGGAAGGGACAGTCACTACATAGAGGCACAGCATCTTCTGTCTATGAGGACTCAGGATAAAATTAAGCAGGCAATTATCAAAACTGCTATTCCTGGATGATATTTTATTTGACCAGACTTGGCAGAGAAAGTGTTTGTTTTAAATTCTTAAGAGCTCTGGACAGGGCACACAGTTGACAACATTCTCCAAATATCTCACTTAATAATTCTACTCACTTATGCCACCCACCATTCTGGTTTCTAAAGGCATTTTTCTTTGGATCACCTAACTAGAGTCCAATACTTCAATTTGGAAGGAACTTTAGAAGTCATCTGGTCCCATGGTTTACAAACATGGGACATATAAGAATTACACTTAGAGCATTTCAAAATTATGTACTTCCTCATAGAAATTCTCATTCAGTAGGTCCTAGGTCAGGCCTGGACATCAGATTCTGATATGTCCTACCTGGTTGAGTCTAATCTCCTCATTTTAAAATGGGAAAAGAGGCCCAGAAAGGGTCTAAATTATAACCTGCCCATCATTTCTGCCATCGTCTCTTGCCCAAGTTGTCAGCAATAGCATCTCAGTATCCTAGTTGGTCTCTTTGCCCCTTCGGTACATTTTCTACAAAAAGAGCTAGAGTGAGCCTTTTTAAATGCAAAAGAGATAATGACCTTCCCTTGCCTATTCAGTGGATTTCAATTGCATTCAGAATAAAATATCACCTCCTTACTACAGCATATTTGAATGGTCTGGTTCTCCACCTTTGTCATAGACTTGGAATCATACAAATCTTCAGTTCCTGAATACCTCAAGCTCTTTTCTGATTTTGAGATTTTAATGATGCTATGTCCTTTGCTAGACTCTCCTTTCCCCCTGTTTTTCATGGAAATCTCAGCTTAAATGCCATCTTCTCAGTGAGGCCATGCCTAACCACCCTTTGTAAATATTATCTTTCCCTTTTATTCCCTGTCATAGTTTGTTTCCTTCATAGCACTTAACCACACTATAATTTTCTTATTTATCTGTTTACTTATTGTTTGTCTCCCATCATGTTTTGTATTTCCTAAGGGTAGAGACCTTCACTCTGTTCATCACTTTATTCTTGCTGCTTGGCACCTGTAAACATTTATTAAATGAATCTTACTAAGCCAGATGGCACAAAAGCTTTGAAGAGTTCATTTTGGTGGAATTTTAAGCAGGACTGTGGAGTGGTGGATACAGCACTAATCTGAGTCATCCCCTTCCCCAGGGCTCAGTTTCTCTATCCATAAAACAATCTGGATAAATAATTCCTTGAATTTTTATACTTCATATGTTATTTGCAAAGCTCTTTCATCACCTATCTTAATCTATTAACATAGCAGGTAAAATAGACCTTGTTATTCCCATTTTTACTGAGGCTGGAAAGTTTAAGTAAACCAGATTATCTGTAAAATACCTTCTGCTTCAAACATTCTATGAGTCTGTGGAAGTAGTCTACTACTGACAAAAAGTCAGAAGCATGAATCCTATCTTCTTTTCACTTTACCATTGTAATTTCCTCATAGGATTTTTAAAAATCTGAACCCATCTTTAAAGGGGAAGTTCATTATCTTTAGGTCCTGATAGATACTCCATTTTTGTCTTCTCAGTTTTCCACACTTGTGGCAAAACAAGCTTCAAGAAAGAACATTGGCATTCCTGTTAGTTGTGGCCCAGTCCTCATCCTCTGGAAATGGCAAACAAGGGGAACAAGAAGCGTCGGCAGTTCTCCCTAGAGGAGAAAATGAAAGTTGTAGAAGCTGTCGACTCAGGCAAAAGAAAAGGTGATGTGGCAAAAGAATTTGGTATCACTCCTTCTACATTATCTACATTCTTAAAGGATAGAGCCAAATTTGAAGAAAAAGTGCGAAAGGCATCTGTGGGGCCCCAGAGGAAAAGGATGAGGAATGCTCTCTATGATGACATCGATAAGGCTGTTTTTGCTTGGTTTCAAGAAATCCATGCCAAAAACATTCTCGTGACTGGTTCTGTGATTCGGAAAAAAGCACTAAACTTGGCCAACATGCTTGGCTATGACAATTTTCAAGCAAGTGTGGGTTGGCTGAACAGATTTAGAGATCGCCATGGAATTGCTTTGAACGCTGTCTGTAGAGAGGATGGTGACAGGTTAATGAATGGTCTAGGAATAGATAAAGTTAACGAGTGGCATGCAGGGGAAATTATAAAGCTAATTGCTGACTACAGCCCAGATGATATATTCAATGCTGATGAGGCAGGAGTGTTTTTCCAGTTGCTTCCCCAGCACACACTTGCTGCTAAAGGGGACCATTGTAGAGGGGGCAAGAAAGCAAAGCAGCGGTTGACAGCACTCTTTTGTTGCAATGCCTCAGGGACTGAAAAAATGAGACCATTGATTGTTGGTAGGTCACCCAGCCCACACTGCTTCAAGAATGTCCATTCCCTGCCTTGTGATTACCGAGCCAACCAGTGGGCATTGATGACGCAGGACCTGTTTAATGAGTGGCTGATGCAAGTGGATGCCAGGATGAAGAGGGCAGAACGCCGGATCCTCCTGCTTATTGACAACTGTTCTGCTCACAACATGCTTCCAC